GTCGTTTCTCCCTCTCGCGTCATCTAAATGCGCTGACATACTAATCATTTGCATATCCCAACATCTTCATTTCGTGTGATTTTGACGTCAAATTATTCCTTCCTGGTGTTGCAATTTTAATGGCCAACAGTGTATAATAAACTGAAAATCAATTCTATAGTAATCAAATATTTAATTGAAAAATTGACTAGCATTAATCACTTATAAAATAAAATTAAAACATGGCGTGCAACACGTAAGAACTTAAAAAAAAATTCAGTTAAAAAAAAAAAAAAAACAACTGCGAAACGACATTTAATGAGACCGTAAATGCCTGTTTCTTTTTTACAAATAATAATATTTATCGTTCTCTTTTCCCCAATTTAAGCCTTACAGGTACTGCTAATTTGCTTTAGATTTTAAGTAGGAAAATTATGAAAATTCCATCTGGCACGTTTGCTTTGATTAAAAATTGCTGGATGTAGCACTTGAGGACAACTATGACAAAATAAGACCTGAGGCCTTATTTAAAGAAAGATACCTTAAAATCTTTTGCAATAGTTTATTTCTTCTTTTCTTTTTTTTTAAGTATCCCTACTTTTAAAGTAGTTTTAGAAGCTATTGTTTTTGAAATTTTCTGTTCTCCTATGATAGCCATTTTCTTCACCATCTGGATTTATTAATACAGATCTAGTTCACTCCCAGCGCAAGACTTTTAGAGACGCTTACTAATTTAGTGCAATCTAAACTGTGGAGCTTTACTTCAGAATACATATTATAACTATATATTGTTAAAAAATTAACTATACCTTATTTATTTTTTTAATGCGTAATAATATGGAAGTTTTCATTTTTAATTTTACCTCTCATTGTCATGATCCTGTTATTTAGTTCTTTTTTTTGTAAAATTCCGTTATAAGTTTTATTTATTTATTTATTTTTTCCATTTTTTAAATGAAACTTTTCTTATTTTGATTTCTTCTGGTTTGGCATCTGACTTAATTAAAAATCTTAATAAGCTTCCCCTTCTTAATTTTTAGCCTTTTTTTTGTTTTGAAATCTCTCTTTATTGCCTGTTTTTGAGTTTTGCTTTGTTTGTTAAGCGGTTTCTCTGCATTACGAGTATCATGGCAGGTGAGCCTCTTTTACAGTCATAATTGTATTCCTTTTTTTAAAATTATGATGCATTGTAAAATCGTAGCTCCTTGCGATTTCTAATAATTTTTACGTTATTACGATAGTTGATTTTACATTATTTGAACTTTTTTAATGCGTATTTACTTCTAATTACAAACTTTTGTCTAAAGAGTTTTTTAAAATCCTTATCTGTTTACAATATATTATTATACATTTCAAGAATATTTTTTGGGTACTTTTGCATAACATAGATATTAAGAATTTTACCGAAATCGTATGGCTTCTACAGAGGTTTCATTTAATACCTAATTTTTGTACACATCTACGTAATTTGTGTAGCTGAATGTACTGCGGCTGCAGGACCGATAGATTCATATGCAAGATTTATCCTCAGACTTGCTAATAACTTCATACAGCATATGAGACTGGAAACAAACTTAAGCCAAATTTAAAAAATGGTCACATTTCAGGCTATAGCCGTAGCATATAATAAAATTCTTCAATACTTCATAAGCATTTTTTGTCATTTTGGGAAATTTTGAATCTTAATTTGCCAATGGGCCTACAGATATGGTCACTGTGTTCTTGAAAATAATTTCTGAAGGTGGTAACTTATGCAATTATTTGCGAAACCTTTTGAGCTATTTTTAAATTGTTGCTTATTTCTATAAAATACTCATGCCTTTAAGCTGAATCTGATTTCATTATGCGCATTTTAAATGTACAGATATTTATTTTTACTAAATATATAAATATTTATTTATTTGAAAAAAATTAAATTACGGTTTTCTTTAGTATTTCTTTATGAATAAGATGTTACAGTTTATTGAAGTTAGTTATTTGAAGGTAATAATTGCAGAAAATTAAAAATTTAACGATTCGTAGTTACAGTTGCATGCGATTTTTTTTACGTGATTTAAATAAACAAAATATTAAAAAATTAAATAATTTGTTGCAAAATTTATTTAAAAAGTAGTATTATTAGAGAAAATGATGCACAAAAATGAATTAGTTCTATATATTTATAAAAATCAGCCTGACCATAGCTTATTCGAATAAAGTGTTATTCAAAACTGTCCCACCTCAAGTTAGTTCGATAAAGGAATTCTATTTACGCACATATACCGGTTTTTAAAATTATGAACGGGACAGGTTTTTCACATGTAATGTCATGTAACAAAAGCCATACAAAACATACCATAACATCGTCAAGGTATAAGAATGCAGGAAAAATGAATAATGCTGATCAAGAAGGGAACTCCAAAAGATGTAAAAGACTTGTATTTGGAAGTGGTTTCCAGAAAAACAATATAGGAGACAAAAACGTCCAGGCAAGAAATGGTCCATCTTCTGTAGGGAATATGGTCACTCCTGACTATCCCTTACGGCATCTGTTTTATGTTTGATTCCCCTGACTACGCTGCATCTGTGTATGTTCCTGTGGTCCTGACCATGATGCATCTGTGTACGTTCCTGTGGTCCTGACTACGATACATCTGTCAACGTCTTAAAGTACCGTTGACCATTCTTCGTAGAGAATCGATCGCAGCTGTGGAAACGCTGCTGGCAGCTACTGACGTGATTACCAAATGTCTTTCAAGAACACCTCACACTATTTTGATTGGGCTTACATTTGTGAGCCAAACCATGCTGCAAATATGCTGCATGCACTTTCTACTAATTCAGTGACAGTCATTGTATAATGAGCATGTTGTTCATGAAGAGGAACTCAGAACCCACATCACCTCAGAAAAAATGTTCCCAACTTGGGTTTTCTAACGATGCTGGAAGAATAATTTGATGTTTCCCTTTTTCTCCAGCCAGATTCAGTCAAAATCGATACTAAGATTAAATCATCCGACATTCCACAAAGAGCACTCGACCCCACCAGTTTCCCAGACCCTGTGCACAGGGATCACAGAAATTGCCATCTCAGGTAGTAGGTATCTATGACACATATCGTACAATCACCTATGTAAAGTTTCCTAGATAAAGTAAAATTTGATGCTCTGCATCTTATGATTATACTCGCTGTATCTTGACTTTCTTGCAGGACAAAATACTAATCCTATAGTGTCATCGTTGCTTGTGGATGAATATCACCTAACTTTCGGACAACTATCTCTGCCGTTCGAAAGGTCCCTCTTACCTCGCGGGATACTGTGTGGGATCCAAATTTCTCAGTAGTCAGATTTTTATCTTCCAGTTTCGCAGTAGTTCGGCCTTAAAATCATCAAGATCATTAGGACTGGTTTGTTTGACATATCACATTGTAACAGCAACTAAACTGATGTGTAATGTGCAGCAGCTTCCACTCAAATATGGAGCATGCACCTCTTTTCTGCTTTATTTTCATAGAATTACATTACAGGTGTTATATTACAGTTACACTACATATATGCACATGATTTACCTTAGCCAACCTCTTCACTGATCTCTTGATTGGTCTTTCAGTCAGTTTTGCTCTTTTGCTGCATTTTTATGTTAATTTCTTCACTTCATTCTAGTTTTTAGACACTGTATTTTTAACTATAGTTTCTTGGCTCAATAATTTATCATGTATTGTTTTATTTGGACATCACATTAAATTTTATTTTTATCATTTGTTTGGTTATTAATCTTCTACAGACTATTGAAATGGAAATATGAGTTTCTAAATTCTCTTTTACATTATGTACGTAATGTTATTGTTAATTTACAGGTACAATATGTTATAAATAATTTTGTTAAGCACAATGGTTATGCACAAAATGTTAGTCATTGAACTAGAAAGTGATGTATGGTATTACTGGAAAATTTTTCATACAAAAAGATGTAATACAAAATCAACTGACACAGTTTTTATTATTTCTCTGGAATTTTTATTAACATCCTTTAGAAAAAAACTGTATCGAAGATTATGTAAGATTTGAAAATGAAAAGATTTAAATTCTTCAATAAAACTGAAAATTTCAAAAAAATCAATTCAAGAACATTTCAAAGTAGCATATAAATATCATAATTTTTAACTTCATGTTTTCATAGAAAATATAAAATTTTCTCCTTTTCTGTCTTTTGATATAAAATATTAAATAAACAGCGATATTGAATGTAATTTCTGGGCCAGATAAATTGCAGGTTAAATAAGCTCTTTCAATTAAATAGCATATAATGCCCCAGTTATTTATACCCAATATTACATTTGTTCTTTCCATTGAAATGTAATGATGAATGAAAGGAAAAATGAAAATGGAATAAAATATAAAACAAGTAAGAAACATGGCAAAGTTTTTAATTAGAATGTTCTCTAGTTTAAAATCACTCTGTGTTTTGAAAAACATCAATAAAAATTAGCTGAAACATTCTCACGTGCCAACACGTCAAATGCACATTATATCTCCATCAACGAACATAATCTGAACAACAATATATATTATCACCAACCATACATAGAGTTCAATGGGACAACAACACGTCCCAGAAAAGTATGTATAGAGCACCACTAAATTGATTATACAGAGTTGTTTTTTGTTTAAAACAATAGCACTTAAGTCACATTGATAATGGATGTATTTCCACTTCAAAAAGTCAAGTTCACAAAGTTTTAAGAGACACGTGCTTCAAGTATTAGATGAAAGGAACTTTACAAGGCCTGTACATGGCATCACACTTCTCTGGAGGGAACTGAAGCAGCCCGGAGAATCAAATGGGCTCGATCATGAGAAAAATAGTTGATTGTGCAAATAATAGACCCACTGATATATTAAACGAGAAATTCTCGCCGAACATTGATATCGGGAGATCAGATTTCACAGACATTGTTCCTCTTCTGTGAATGATCTTAACTACCCTGTGTTCACTGGAAGTTGAGGAAGGGGCAGTGTCAGTTCCTTGGCAGTGTCTGCTCAGTTGGTATAATGATCAAAGGAGCCCAAGTATTCAAGAGCTGCTCGGTAACAGAACTGGTATTGGTCCTGAAATAAAAAATCATATTACTTGAGTTTGTTTGAATGCATGTTGTACTTATAAATGCCTAAAATCACAATGACAAATTCTGCGTTAGCACATGAAAGAAATATTTGTAACTCATTACGCTTTCAAATATGATTAAAAATGTACACAACATACATATATTGGATTGTACTTGCTATCCATTTTTTGTTCAGTAGTAAGGTCAGGAATTAACAACTGTTTAATAACGCATTTTAAATCTTTATTCTTATAAATAATCTTCAACTTCCTTTATACGAAGGCTATATATCTATTTGAACATGGGAAATCTTATACGTACAAAAATATAATGCCTACTGGCATTTTTAAAATATTTAATACTAAATTTAGATTTATATATGCAAATTTACCGTTCGTGAAAAAAAGACTGCATGTATTAGAGAGATGTAGATGTTCGTTCCATTGTTTTCAGATGAAAAAGCAAAGCAAATAAAAGAAAATGCAGAGTACATATGCATTCATGTAAACGAACATGATCTCTTATCATCTGCTATGCAGTAGTATATTAATTCTTCAATAGTTAGCAATCGTCGGTTTAGAATTAAAAAAGTCATTTAATTAAAAATCATTAATTATCATTTAATTAAAAAATCATTAAATTAACTGTATTTATGAATAAGCATTCTAATTCTAGTCAAAATGAGTAATCTGTTGTCTAATGCATTTAAAAGTATGGTTATCAGATTCACATTCTACAACAATGCTTCAAATGAAATAAAACTCGCGTCTAAATCATCAAGGAATTTTCACTATACATCCTTTGCAGAAATGCATAACAGAATTCATAACACTGTCTCTACAATATACTACTAAAATACTGTTTCCTTTTTCATCATAATTTTCAATTAAGCAAGTAAACACCAGTTACTAGAGGCCAGAAGACTTTAATTCTCCATTACTGCATTTTATTTAAGTTTCACTGAAAACATTTTCATATAATATATGAAAAATTTAAGTATTTCATGAAATATATGAAACATTATAATTTTATTTTCCATAAAGCTTTTAATTTTCATGTTTTAGTTAGAAACAAATTAGTCAAGAGAAAATAAGAATAATCTTTCTTTATTCTCGTGAATAGGCTCTTCTACAATGATGTTGACAAGGATGCCTCTAATCCTTGCTAATACATTTTAATTATGAAGAAAAAAATAGCACCATGTTTGATTTCATGTAATAAACATAAACAGAAAAAGGTCTTTCTTTATGAAAGCACATAAGGTGCAGGGCAAACCCATTTGAAGTGGTTTTTTATCATAAATAAAGTATTTTAATGTGACTGAATGCAAACTTTTTCAGGTTCCAGTTCTTTAAAAGAATAATGTCAGTGGTAATTCTGATATTATTACAGTTGCTAACTTGATACCTGTAACTCTATGGTTAATTTTTGCTAGTTTGTCTATTATTCCAATGGTTGAGTTATAAATATGGACAAAACTGTTCTTCTATGGGTTCAGATCAGAACGGTTCGCAAATGAGTCGGTTCTTTTTCATGACTCATCGCTCACTAACAATGACTTTGATGAAAAAGCAGGAGAAAGCATACAGCCATGAGCGGAAAGAACTTAACGAGCAGTCAGATCGGGACCAATTAGCGAGGCAAAGCGAAGATTGAAAAGAATCGGAAGAACTGAATCAAACGCTAAGTACCTGAATTGATTTCTTTCGACTGTAAGTTTGAGATTCCCTACAACCTCTGTGTACTAATTCTACACAGAGCTAACAATAAAATTCCAGAATAAGAATTTTTCAAGAAGTTGAGAAATGATAAGAATTAAACTTACTTTTTTAACATTGAAGGATAAACATTCCTTTCTTCCCTAAAATGAAAATCGTCACTTCTAACAAGATTTCCTTTCTTTTTTTTCGCCAATCAGGCGCAAGCTCGCTTAGTAAAGTGAATCAGTTTATGAACTAATAAAGCAGATCACATTTTCTGACACGCTTACAACTACAACTGTCTGTGAGCTGTAAAAGAACTATACCTTCGTTTCCTGGAATTGGAGTAAATTCACTCAATAAAGTGAACAGGTTCTTTGAATCAGTTCCAAAGTGGATCATTTAACTCTACTGATGACGTTTATAATAATTACACTATAAGGTGTCTATACTAAAGCTGTCAAGTTATAAAAATTGAATGTATTATGTATTATGAAAGTTTTAGGTATGTGAAACTTATATTATGAAAGGTTTATGTGGTTCAGATATTCTGGAAATTTCACAAATTTCATCCACTTTTTTCAAAACCTGCAGTCTTTCAAAAGGGTTAATCTGGAAGTATATATCGTTTTGAAAAGCTGTCTGGAGGTTCGTGGGTTTGAAAAGTTGTCTGGAAAGTTTTTTTGTGAGCAGTAGAATGGTAGATTTTCTTCTGTTTGATTCGTTCTTTCGGAAGTATATGAAGGACTGAGTGTAATTAACGTGACAACCTAGAGGATCTAAAATATTGCATTTTTGCTGAAAAATTAACCATAGTTTCTGATATGATTTCAAGGAAACCGAGGTAGATTACTGATTTGATAGAAACTGTGCTATTAAAAATAAGATGAAAGTTATCAGTTTTTAAAAGAAACTTCGACAGTGTTCTTTTTCATCTGTATAATTTCAATAATTAACACTCGTAGGCTCTTTGCATTTAATACAGATAGATAAAAACTACGGAACTATTTTAATTATAAACATACATGAAAAATTAAGTTAAAAAATTTGCAGACGCATTTCATATGTCAAAATGTGCATCTTACTTCTGTTTGCACCATTTTACTCTACATAAATTTCAAGAATTCAGCTAAAAAATTTGCAGACATGTTTCGTACGTAAAGGCATATATCTTACTTCTGTTTGAACCATTCCTGGCCTCTGTGTGCGAAGAATACGAATAGACTGAAAAATATCGACAACACCTTCAAATTGCATTCGTTCTAGCACTATACTCAGAGTAATGAAAACACCAGTTCTTCCTACACCAGCACTGTAAGCATTTAAAAATAATTTCATATTAAAAAAAATCCATGATGCAAGCACAATATAAATTCTATGCACATATTGATATTAATTTATATTAATAAATACATTTTTATCTCATCCTTGAATATAAAAATTTTAAATTTAATCGTATGATGCTGAAATTGGATACTTAATTAAAAAATGAATAACATTTATAAATATATGGTGCAAGCTATTTTTATAACTAAAATAAATAATCAGAGGAAAATAGCTGTGAGAAATTTCATCGTTAAAATTAAAAGTTTTCAAAATAAAATTATTTGAAAATTAACTGAAATTTTTTGTATTACTGCATAACAATTCTTTTAATTTTGAGTAGGTTTAAAATAATTCCTGTTCTTATTTTTAAATCTGTAATTAGTTCAGCAAAAATATAAACAGCTATAAGTTATACATAGTTTTCAAATGCACAATTAGCTTAAAAAATTAGCTCATTTATACAGCTCAATGTAGATAGATATCAAGTAAAAAAAAAAAACTAACCATACAGCTCAATGTAGATAGATATCAAGTATAGTACTTTTAAAGGATGTTATATTCAACACTATGCTGTTATTTATTTTGTTCATAGATTTTTAGCCCAAAAGGGAAATTTGCCCAGAAGGTTTATTAATTTCGTTTTGGCATTTGAATTGTCTACTCTTAACGGCTTTCACTTTTCGAATTGTTGCCAGAAAATATTAGAACCCTGCATTATATTTAAAGAAATTAAATCATGAAGAATCTGCATGAATGTATGTATGTTTCTTGCACTGTGCAAAACAATGGTAGCTAGAGACATTAAATTTTGAATAACGTCCATTCGAGTATTGGCATCTGTAAGCCCAAAAATGGAATTTGTTTAATTATTTATTTCACACCTTGTAAAACTTTTTTTTGAAAAAAAATTTTGATTAACAAACTCAACTATTTCAAAGCGAGCAATGGCAACACTGTACTGGGGGGGATTTATCTCCACAGCATAAGACTGTGTATCAGAAATTCTAAAGATATGCTCTTTTTAAATATTTTGTGATGTTGTTAAATTGAATTTTATGATTTAAATACGAAAAACATGATATTTAATAAATGAAGGTAACACAAAAACGTTAAAAAAAAAAGCCTTTTTGAGCATAATATAAAATCTGAAAAACTGCTAAGCTAAATCTAAAACTGCTTTCTTTCAAGAATTTAAAAAAAATATCTGAAAGCTTTCAGATTTTTTTTTTTTTAATTCTTGAAAGAAAGCAGTTTTAGATTTAGCTTAGCAGTTTAGTTTTAGTTATGAACAGTCAAAAACCAGCTTGAATTTCCAGAAGCTAAAATAAGTTTATCATTTTTTTAAAATTTAAATAATTTAAAGATAATAAATGAAAGAAACAGCTTTCAGTCTACATATTTTAAAATTTAAATTTAGTTTTTGTACTCATAATTATTATAGCAAATAGTAATAGTTTTAATTTTGTGGCGATATTTGACCGGAGCAGGGTTTGCATTAATCAGAGTTTGGGCTGGAATTATGAGGTATGCTGAAGAATATTATGGCCCAAGGCGTTTTGCTTCCGGAGTACCTTTGCAAGTAAATGCAATAACCTCCACAACTTCGTTAAGAAAAAAAATTGAATAATTAAGATTGAGCATAGCTAAAGTGAGGAGTGAGAACCGTTAAGGGTTTAAAAGCCAGTAATGAATGAGGAGTCCACTCAAGGGACGAGAAATTCCTTCGACTTTCAATTTCGCTGAGGAAGGGTCAAAGACCTGTGCGATAAGAAAGATCGAGAGATCGCAGGCAATTTCTGCGCGCTTTGCGTGAGTGAAATCGAGACTGTTGAAAGAAAATGGGGTGAGAGGAACTTGCCTCTGGCCCCGGGAAAGGTTATGTCGTGGCTACTCTGAAAAGCAGCGGAATCGCTAATGCCTTGGGATGAGCGTGGGAAGAGAGCCGGTCCGAAGACCAAAGATGGCTGAAGGGGGGCCAAAAATGGCGGAGGAGAGGAGAGAAGAGAGGAGCGAAGGGGTAGGGCGGGGGGGGGTTCACTCCGACCTCCCGTAGGGAAACCGTTAGGGGCTTGAATTCTTTAACAGCAAATAAATTATCTACCGTATTCACTCTAAAATAAGACCTCCATTTTTTACTATTTTTTTTTTTTTTTTTTTTTTTTGTAAAATTCAATAGGGTCTTATAAACAAGTATTGAAAATGAAACTGAATGAAAGAAGAAATCTTATTATCATATTATATATAGAATAGTTATACTTTAAATACTAAATAAATTGTGTGTTTAATTATCGTAAGAGATTCTCTTTCACAGAATTACTGCAATTACAAATTACTTAAAAAATTACAAAAGAAAATACAAATTAAATTATTTAGAATTACAAAATAAATATTCACCTCCATTTTTATTTCTTAAAACTTATCCTAAACTGTATAGATGTTCTTATATTCAAGGTAATCTTTGATTATTATTATATCGTGATATATTAATACATAGCATTTAAATATATATTTATTTTTAGATATTAATTTTTTTATAATTTTTATGCATATAAATTAAATATAGAGTACAGAGTATTATGTTCATTGTCTGAAAATGCAATTTCATTACTTTGTTCAAAATATGAAAGTTTAAATTCACCTTGATATGAGTCTGTACCAATTTTCATTCATAATAATATCTGTCATTGTACTTTTTCCTCACTATCTAGTTTTGTTATATATTAAAAAATTAGTACAAATATATTTTTTAAAAAGTATCAGCATACCTTAAAATTTGTAAATTATCATTATATTTCAAAAAATTTTAATTTCTATTTACCGAAATAAAATAGAAGCTGCATGAATAAAATTAATTTCCAGTGCAGTAAATATTCATGATTCAATGATAAGTACTTATTCCTAATTCGTTATGATGAATAAGCCATAATGAAAATGAAACATTTCTGCCAAATTACTGAAATACCAATCACATAAACTAAATACCAATCATGTGTGCTTTAAAGGAAAGTTTCTATATCTAAAATAAATTAATGTGAGTGTTCTTTCCAAATTCAGCTTCTAGATATGAACTGTGGAATTATTAAACTAGTCCTTTTTGCTGAATTTCAGTACATTTATGCGCACTATAGGTAGATCTTGAAAATTAGAGTAAAAAAGAAAAATAAATTTGTATAGGTAGATCTTGAAAATTAGAGTAAAAAAGAAAATAAATTTGTATACACATTGACTTTTCTAATTCAGATAAAAGTCATTAAATTTAATATATATATATATATATATATATATATAACTTCAGCAACATTTAAATAACCAATCTAAAATTGTAATAATGTTCTGTTTACCTGCAGTGTACTGTAATTGGTCCTTCCTGACCAAACTGTTCTTTTGTCTTATGCACTTGGCCAATGAAGTCTATGAAACCTTCTCCAGATTTAGGTACACCTTGTTCTGGCCAGTCTGTAAAATGAAACTGTCTAATTGTCCTAGACTGGCCATCCTAATGAAATGGGGGGAAAAGACTTTAATAAAAGTATAAATGATTTAAAAGAAAAAACTTTTGAAGGTGATATAACATTTTATAAAATCCAGTCTGTTTTAAAACATAATATCTTGGTTTTTGTAATAACTTCCAAGATTTTCTTTATAAATTAATTTTTATCTGTAAAATTATGACAAGGAAAAAATATTAAATGCTTACCCTGGCATCTGTGACCTTAAATTCTCTCAAGATGTATTGTGGCATATTATATTCTGTAATGGGATCTACAACATAGTACAAATAACGCTGTGATCTTTCATTTGGCCAATATTGATGACATTTTTCCTATAAAAATTAATAACTTTATAAATTTATATGTCATGCTTGTACTCTATATTTAATTTATATGCATAAATTATAAAAAAATTAATATCTAAATAAATATATATTTAAATGCTATGTATTATTATTATATCACGATATAATATAATCAAAGATTCCTTGAATAGAACATCTATACGTTTAGGATAGTTTTAGAAAAAAAAGAGGTGAGTAATTCTAAATATTAATTGTATTTTTCTTTTGTAATTTTTTAAGTAATTTGTAATTGCAGTAATTCTGTGAAAGAGAATCTCTTACGATAATTAAACACAACGATTTATTTAGTATTTAAAGTATAACTTCTATATATAATATGATAATAAGATTTCTTCTTTTTATTTTGCAGTTTCATTTATCAATACTTGTTTATAAGACCCTATTGAATTTTAAAAAAAAAAAAAAAAAATATAGTAAAAATGGAGGTCTTATTTTAGAGTGAATACGGTAGATAATTTATTTGCTGTTAAAGAATTCAATAAAAAACTCATTTCAAGCATGCAAAGAACTAAAAAATCCTTAACCGTGTCAAAGTCTCTGACCTATGTTTAATGGAAGATTTTTAAAGATAGAATTACATATTATTCAGGCTAGATCAAAATATATGCATAGGAGTTTTCTCATGTGTTCTTTTTCAAATAGATGTTTACATAATACAGTAGCATTGCCAATTTAGAATTCCTAAAATGAGATGTTTCTCATATTGTTGTCTCAAAACAAGAAAAGTGTTTTAAGAAACATAAAATAAAGCACTTATATATCAATTAAAATGTTTTAGAAGTATGTACAATATAATACATAAAAAGAGACAACAACCCATTGAACAGATTGGTTTCTCTTTGCACACAGAAATGACTCGCTTATTCACAGATTTCCCAATAAACTCCGTATATATCTTACTACCATTTAAATTATCAATCAAGGCTTGGTTTAATACATAATGTAAAATATGAAATGCATTTCAGCCGTTAAATAACCATTAGGCAAGTAAGAAATGAACAGCAGTTAGGTAGCTGGACTCCAAATAGGTCTGGGAAGTTATAAAATAATAAATGACCAGGAAAAACATTATGGTAGACGTCATATGCTACAACGAAGTAACAAAAAATGGAATGTTTGTATGCCATACTACAGGTTCTTAACGATCTCATTAAATAACTTAAGATATATGAATAGAAGACTTGTTACTTCATTGAAAAAAATAACAGCTCTTACAGGCAAGATAATCAGCTACAAACAGCTCCAGCAGAAAAACAGAGGAAGGCAAAATTATACTTAAATGCAGAGAATATCATAGATTAAAATCGTTTACAGAGCTAAAGCAGTAATCACCAAATTGTGTTAACATACAAAAATCTCCATCCAATGGATTCATAACCGCTCAGAGTCTCTAATTTACAATTTCTAGATGTACATACATCTGGAAACTTTGGAGAAAACCTCTTCTACGCTTTCAAATACTTTTCTCAAAAACTTTTCAAACGTCACCAAGTTGTCAAAAAATCGCCAATTATCGCCGTCTCGACCACAGATGGCAATTTCTTCAGAAATTCTTCTAACAGGCCTTAGCAATAAAAGACTCGGTAGGAGAATTTCTGATTATAACTCCAGTTCTATGCAATAAAATACAAATTTCAAATTAGATATCTACGAAAACTAGAAACCGAAAAATTATGTTAAAATTTTCTTAAAATATTTAGTTATATAAAAGTGTTTTAACTTACTCTTCCTATTTCTTTCAATTTGGTTAACATGACTATAATATTACAATTATGCTCCCACAGCATTCTCCAGAAATCTTCTGTTGTCTCTGCCAGAGGGCCTTGTGTTGCTATATAAGCATTTTTATACCGATATCCCTGGAAATTTTTTGAAGAATTATAAACAAAAGTATAAAAAATTATTTTTTTGAATATTAATGGAAATTTAATACGTTATAATGTTATAATAAAAAACAATAGATACATTTTATTGCAACATCTGCGTTAAAATAGTTAAATTCAAACTTTTATATTATACATACATCAATATAATTGGCATTTATATAGTCTGAACCATCTACTCCTCTAATTGGCTGCAGGCACACACGTGTAGATTCATCTAAAGAAAATTACAAGAAACTTTTACAGACTTTTCATAGCATTATTATACAAATTATATATGATTAAATATCATATTTTTATTTTTTAAACAAATGATACCAAAATATGCCATAATAGATTCTAATTTATATTTTATTAAAACACTATCAACTGAAAATATATAGGCTTATTTATTATCAAAAATTATTATTATATGATATTTCATCACTCTGCATTACAGAATTTAAAGATATTAAATGCCTGCCCATTTCTAAAATCCCTTAAAATAAACGAAAGAATTTAAACAAGAAATTATTTACAAATTAATATTTGATTCATTCCGTTTTCCTTCCAAAATGAAAATGATAAATAGATAATTTATATTTTATTTTAAAAAATACTATCCAATTTTGTAACTTATAACTAGATTAGCACTCACAAATTTTATGATATTTTCATCACTCTGATTTGCTTTTTTAAAGAGATTAAATGACAAACATTCTAAAATCCCGTATTTTTAAAAACGACCCGAATTTTTAAATAATAAAATTTGATTTCATTGCCCCTTCCTATAATATATAAATAGAAATATAAATAGATAATACTTAATGGAAGTATATCTTAGTCTGTTTTTAAACTTATTAACAGGTAGATTGGACAAATTTAGGCTTTATTGTTTAAATCTGAGTTTCTAGAAGACAAAAATTGTTTTGAAAGGAATTAAGTAATATAAAAATTACGACCCTTAAATACAGTTATTAATTGAGATTATAAATAAATGTACTTCAAATACAATAAAATTTTAAAAAAAAAACTTCACAAACTATATAAAAAAAAGCACTGTTCTGTATGATAAAATTTATCAAGTGAGAAATTTTCCAATTTATCAGATAAAGCAATTACATTCACATCAGTAGAAATTACAATTCAAGTATTAATCCCTTCTTAATCATTCCCTTATTTTTCCTATATTTTATTTTCATTTATTGCATTTCTTCCATAAATAAAAAAATAGTATTTTTATGAATTTCAAAGGTGATGTGATTCTATATCTTCTTTGAAATAAATAAGAGTTTTTACTGAAACCTAAATAAATTAAAATTTTTCTTTTCTTATTTCAATTGTAAATTTAATTTAAATATTGTCCCTTATAAATGACTACTCCATACTAATTATCTAATTTTTATGTTTGCAATCTAAATAAGTGCTATAAAAGATTTTAACATTTCATATAAAAATATTTTCTATTTTATCTAGCTGTTTGAGAACAATAATAAGATCTTTTTAACATCCATAGCAACATAAAATTAATAAATAATTTATGTAAAAACATAATAAACGTAATAATCACACTTCAAATCATATTTACCATTTTTAAATCTTTACATGCAATTAACCAAAGATTTGAGGATTTGAAACACAAATAAACTTAGTCAAAACTTTTGAAAAATTATAAGAATATTGAAAATTTCATCAGACTCAATAAAAGCACATCCACAAATCCCATGCATGCATGCGATTAAAAATTTTCCACTGTAAAACACAATTTTAATTCATAGTTCAGAATAAAACTAAGTAACTGAAACACAAATCCTGATGAATCCTTATACAAGATCTTAATAAGACATATCGTTTTCATATTTAGCAGATGCAAAGTTCAAATCTTTAATGAATTTTCTAAACTAAATTTTCAATAAATTGCTTGTGTATAATCGATGTTTTAAATGTGTGTAAATTTATCAAATTATAAACATAAATAAATCATTAAATATACTTGAATTTAATTATATTGCCAATATACACAGACTTAATTCTATTGTCAATGTGCAATGTGCATTTTCAATTATTGATGAAAATTTTTACCAAGCATATCTTTAATTTTATATACAAAAATACAGAAATTCTCATTTTTAAACTAATTAAAGCATAATTAGCATTTCACTAAACGGAATTTTTCTATAGAAGCAGTTTAAAAAGTAAGATCTTATCTCATCTAATCCTCCTCACCCACTATATGAAAATTCTAGAAGATTAATAAGAGATTCTAGAAGATTAATAAATTTAAATGAATAAAGCCTCTTCTGTGAACAGCTTCTGTGAACCCTTTAACTCAAAATTCCAAGCATTTAGATAAAACATTATGTTAAAATGAAACGAACTATATTAAGAAAACATAAGTTTTTGAAGCAAATGTTATAGAAATTACTTTGAATTCTAATTCCATCCCTGTGCAGTTTTCCCCAGGTATAACCTGCAGTAATTGCTGTATGTGAGTATAGAGACTCCGTGCAGGTACTTCAGTTACACCTGCTATCACAGCTTCCAGCACTGCATCATGAACGAATACATACTGGTCCTCGGTCTGGACCATATAATTCCTTTGTGCCCGAAGACAAGTAACATGACCATAGATGTCAACTGTGGTTTCATGTTTGAGTCTTTCCAACATGGAATCAATGACTATGAAGCAGCCTGTTCTACCAACACCAGCACTGAAAAATATAAAAGTATAACATTAAGAATAGCCTTTGCTTTACAGTATCAGATAATATATATTAAACAGAGTGATAAATGATTTATTTACTTAGTAGTCTTTGGACCATTTTGGAATTCTCGGCGCCATACGATTAAATTACTTTGCGCATGATATTTGTAAATGAAATATAAATTACAAATAAATTAAGATTGTCTCAGAGCTCAAAGATCTGCCAATAAATTGTGTTAAGTTACTATTTTTTTTAGGTTAAGAAGGAAGGGTTTAAATACACAAGATATTTTTTTAAAAGAAAATAATACCATAGATTTTCGGGTATTTTTTTAATAAATTAATATTATGGATTTTCGTGTAGAAGCCAAGAATTTTTAGCAAATGTTTTACTACTTAAGTTTGGGCTTCGGTTTGCACAATTTCAAAATGATATACAAATGATTTGATTAGTAATGCTATCAGGTTAAATAACATTTTTCGTTCTTAGAATTTAGTTCAATCAACAATCCACTAATAAATTTTTTATATTAATATCCAAACCAGAACTTCTAGCACTGCTCAGAAGCCTTCTTCTACTGGAGGCAAGTCATCGTTCTGCATTTTGGTATTAACATCATTTCATTAGCTTCATGTATAAAATCATCTTCAGTTCTGTCCCTAACACTACTCAGCAAAATAGAGAATTTTTATTTATTACTAAAAAAAAAAAAAAAAAAAAAAAAACCCGGGAAATTTTCTCTTCAGAAATAAAGACTTGAGTTATACTCTTAAGTCTTCATTTCTGATCTTGAGTCTTTATTTGTATTTGATTTTCTTAAGGCTTTATTTAGAACAAGGGCGCAATTTAGGAGAAAAATCTTGTGATTGCTTTAGAATGGTAATCACGGCTTGTAGAGGCTATTATGATATTCGAAGCAGGAAACGTGAGAAAATTAGCTATGCTATTGTAGGGATTCGAATTCCGGACTTTTCAGTGCTAGCTGAACGTGCTTCCAATAAAACTACGAAGGCACGCTATAAGGAAGGAGAAAATTCCTTACAAGCTAATCAAAGTAAAATTCGCCACGCACGTAGACCGGCTTATAGTCGGAAATACACAATGTATTATGGAATAGTTTCATGATCATTTGTGATAGGTATTTCATAATATAAAATTAAGATCAGAATACCTGCAGTGAACAATTATGGGTCCAACATCTATAGGGTTCATTGATTGTACTCTTCGCAGAAACATAAGGAATGCAGTGGGATGCTCTGGAACACCATGGTCTGGCCAAGCCGTGAACTGAAACTGTCGAACTTCTCTTTTCTCTGGAAATCCCACCTACAAGTAAACAAATATAATTAAATATAACAGAGGATTAGACGTCAAATTACCTGCTTGTGAAGGAAAAACCACACCACTAAGCTATCTTAATCTTTTCTGATTAAAAATAACATGTACATGCCATATTTTTCTAACAATGCAAAATGAAACAGACAAAAAATAACTTACTCTTTGTAAATAGAATGTCCTGATGCAATACGATGCTAATTCTTGAATGTCGGCAAATGAAACATACATGACTCCATACGTCTCAGTACCACGATTTGGCCAATATTGGTCACACTGCAAGAAAAAGATTCGAATTTAAACACATACTATTTCTTATTACCCGTTTTTGAAAGTATAAAGGATAGTCACACTTAAAAAAATAGATAATGGAAAGAAAGAAATTCGATTGGAAAGATAAAAAGAAATATTTTGCTCTGAATCACATTGCCTTCAATTTAAAGTATTTTAATAAAGACAAAGCGTGCATTAAAATTTTAAAATTTCGAAATACAATTTAAAAATGAAAGAACATGGAAATTTAAACAGGGCATTCTCGCATTCTCTAGATTTATTTCGTAAAAAAAGGCTGTCCCCCCAAAAAAAAACTGCTAGAAAAAGTAAATCATATTAAATTATAAAGCTAAGAATTTTCAGTTAAGTTTAAAATATTCTCCAAATCTCTTCTGCACCACGTCATACAATAAAATTTAATAAGCCATTGAAAGTTAAATTCATACATAAAAAAAGGTAAATCATAAATTGCGAACTTCAGTTTTAAATTGTTTCAAAAAATATTATTTTCAGTACATTTAAAAGAATCAAGCAAATAACGAACTTCAATCTTATATTTTTGTTAAATATATCCATTAATTATACACCGAAAAAGAATTCTTTTGACTCAAAATTGCAAGTTAGTAACAAAGAGCCAACTAACGAAAAACTATCTGATAAAACTGGCTTTCCCTTCTAGACAACTTCAATTCATCTGCTGCACAACTATATTTTAATATTATATAATAAAATTAGGTACATTTAATCTTAGACTGGTATTAAGTATAAGGAAATGCTCTCAGTACATTTCGAAAGATATCGCTTTTTTCAAGGAATAAAAATACTTTGCATACTTATGTCAAATTTAATCTCTGTTTAAACAAATAAATAAAAAGATAAAAGAGGTCGAATACTATGGCACGGATTTGTAGACACGTGGTGCATATGAGATGAAGCCAATAGCTATAGTGGAAAAACAACACAATGTACCATTTAAAACTGTATTAGATGTATTTTTTAATTTTTTAAAAAAAGAATCAAAATATAATAAAAAAGCATAAAATATATGAAAGCTTTTAGATTTTATATTACGCCCAAAGAGTCTTTTTTTTTTTCATTTACACACACATGCACGTTTCGAAAGCATTTGGGATAACTCCCTTTTGGGCTAAAAATATTTAAAAACACTATATGTTTAGAATTTCTGAAAAACAGTCTCTTGGGCTGGAGATAAAAATGTTTCATTCCGTTCAGTGTTGCAACTGCTGGCTTTGAAATCGTTGTTGAGTTTTTTAATAAAAAATTCGTTAACGTTTTACAAAATTTGAAATAGATAATAAAAGAAATTCGAAATTCAAAATTCAGGCTTCAAAGTGCCCATATTCTGGTGGAAGATTACATTATTCAAAATTTGATGGCTCTAGGAACCGTTATTTTTTCTCAATGTGAGAAACATGCATTCATTCCTGCAGATTCTTTATTATTTAATTTCTTTACATATAAAATACGGCGATAATATTTGGTAGCAACAATTTGAAAAGCGATTCAACGTTTTTAGTAATTCGACGCAAAAGGCTTTTCTCGGCTAACGCCAATTTGGCAAAATCGACAAAAATACATAGAAGTAATATATTGGGTAATATGGCAAAAAATAGCAAATTATTATTACTTATTCGTAAAGATGTCGCTTTTAAACATTTTTGGAAGAATGTGATTGGGCAAGAATCGATGTCAAAATTAACAGATTTTGATGAATGACTCTGAAAACTTTCATCAAAATTCTGTTATGATTACGTACATAAAATATTCGAAGGATAAGAAAGGTCGAAGTTTGAATTCACCAGTTTAAATCTAGTGATCAAATTTCTGAACTGTTTTCATGAAAAGAACAAAATGATTTAAGGAAGAACAAATATCAGCAATGGGATATTCATTGATTCCTTCTCTTCTGACATAAAATTCATATTTTTTAACGAGAAATTAAAATATTCCTTTAAACTGGCTTATATTTAACAAGCTAAACTGAAATATTAAAATGTCTCCAATATTTGAAATTTGAAAATAGGGTTCTTCAGGGCTTAATGTTGAATTTATTAACAGGTCAAAAAATAACTTGCACATTATTTTTTAAGGAAATTTTGAGCGATTTGGTAACTAACAGAAAGGAAAACAGAATGATAATGAAATTACTGTAACTGTTTTAAACATGAAAATACTTTTTATAGTGGCCAAAAAAAAAGGTTCTTTGAAAATTTACTAACTGTAAAAGGAAAAAAAGCTTTCAAATAACTGAAATTTTGAATAAGAAAATATTATGAAAAACAAATTTTAAGGACGTAAAAAATGTAAGAATAGAAAAAGATCTTTCCGTGTAGCAGAGTGACAAGATCTGGCTTAAGAAAGAAGGATAACGGAAAAATCTTTCTAACAAAGTGTAGTGCTAAAATTAAGTTAATAAAAAATCAATTGTTAAATCATTTTTTTCCTTCCACTGGAAAGTACAAAGGTATTTATTAATAAAGCGAATTCCCAAACCAGAAAAAGTTTTTCAAGACAAATTGATCTTAAAATTGTGCATAATTATTAAAGTTTAAGACTGTTCAGATTTCCGATAGACATTCCTATTTAGGAAAGTAATTGATCTGGAAAACAGAACATTAGTAACTTATGTTCCTTAATTTAATATTCCTAAAATTTCAAAATAATATACCTGATTTCATGTACTGAAGTTGACGAACTAGTCTATTACTAAACATTCTATGAACTAGGTTATTTCGTTTTCCAAAACGAAGTACCGCAGATTAGATAAAATCTTAATTACTATCAACAAATAGACGGATGCTTCATTACTATAGTATGTCACAGCTTTAATTAATTATATCTATACTTTAGCATTTTTATAAGATACAGTATTTAAATAAATATGCACTTTGACATATATTTCGCTTAATACCGAAGTGCTACCGATTTATAATGTTAATTTTGTATATCTGTAAATAATTTTAGTGAAATTTTATGCGAAGTTATAATGTAACACAAAAAGTCTGAAGAGATGAAGCTGTTCCGGTGCCTTTATAATTAACTGGTAGTGTAATTGAATAGCAGTAATTCTTCCCTATATGTTACTGTAATTATATCCAACCCTTATATGTAACTTTAACCATATATGCCTTCCAGTAGTTTCGAGAAATGGAAGGTACTAGAGGTTTCTCGGCGGCCGGGGAGAAACTATATAAGACCGGGATGAGCTTCAGTTCTCAATTCAGAGTAACTTCGGAGTACTGAGAGATCACACTGCGAGCTTCGCTTTTTAGATGCGCTTTGGATTGCGCTGTGTTTAACTATTTTAGTAGTTTGAAGTGGTAACTACTGATTGTGCTCTGTTATTCTGAGAAGAGCTGTACGAGTACTTTTCTGGAAAGTTCTAGAACTGTAAAGAGTTTCTTCTGAAAAAATAAATTCTATCAAGTTATCATCAGTTTTGTGTGCATTCAATAGAACAACAGGTTTTTGGTTCGACAGCAGAAACTCTCTTTTCGATTTATTGTTCGACAGCAGAAATTCTTTCTTCAGTTTCTCCAACTTTATTTTCAACCTTGTCTTTTCTGTCTTCCATAGCCTCGAATTTGGTTTCGATTACGGAGGTAATTTCTCTTTTCATTTCCTCTTGACTTCGTTAAATCTTTTCTTAAACTGATCTGACGGCCCCTTCCATATTTTTTTAAACAGCTTTCATCTCTTTCTTAACGGACTCTTGGCCCGCTTTCATGTCTTCTTTAACTACTTCAAGGCTGCTTTCATTTTTTCTCGGCCTTCTTTCATCTTTTCTTGGTGCGTTGTTACCTTTTCGTGAATGCATTTCATCTCTTCTTTAACGAAGTTAAAGCCCTTTCCATCTATTCCATCTATTCTAGTCTTGTAAAGCCCCTTCCATCTATTTTTGTAAAACAGCAAAGCCAACTAAGACCTAACTAAGAAGAAACTAAGACCAGCTGTCTTAGTTGCTCTTGTCACCGGCATTCCGTCTTAGTCCTAACACTAAAAGTTGTTGCGTGCTTACGGGTTCGCAATGGGTTGAACGCACACAGATGATAGCTTGATAAAATTAATTTTTTCAAAAGAAACATTTTAAATCTTTGGAACTTTCCACAACTCTCCTCAAAATAACAGCAAAAACAGTAGTTACAACTTTAAACTACTAAAAATGTTAAACACAACGCAATTCAAAGGGCATCTAAACAACGAAGCTCGAAATGAGATCTATCAATACTCTGAACTGAAAAACTGAGAACTGATGCTCTCTATCTGTCATATACAGTTTTCCCCCAGCCGCCGAGAAATCTCTAGTACCTTCCATTTCTCGAAATTAAAGTTACATATAAGGGGCGGATACTATTGCAATAACATATAGGGAAGAATCACAGTTATTCAATTACAGTACCAATTATAGTTATTCAGGGACCGGACCCAAATGTCCCTAAATTCAGCGACGTTTGAAGATTTCTCGTCAATTTAGCGAGACAACCATTTACCTCAATGTTAAAGACTTGCCTCTGTAATCTTATTTTATAAGATCCTCTGTAATCTTAATCTTTTCAAACTTTCCATATTACAAGATACTATAACTTCACATGTAATTTCACTAAAATTATTTACGCATATACTCATTCGCAGCAAACAATAATAATGAAAGGCATTCTGGTTTTAGAAGGAACAGATGTGGTATGCTAACTAGATTTTTGTCTTTCCTTTCATATTTAATGTAATCACAGAATGAACACAATAATTATAGCATACACATGAAAAAGTTTCAAAACAATAAAACTAGGCAGTTAAAAAAGTCCAAGTCAATATTCTAAATTTATTAATACAACTAATATGTCATTGAATCATAAAGAAATCCAAGAATATGCTTCTAACCTTTATTCTGGTGCGTTCTTCCAACTTTGTCATCATAACTATTGTTGCTGTCCTTTGTTCCCAAACCATTCGCCAAAAGTCGCCAAATGTTTCTGGTAGAGGTCCTTGAGTGGCGATGTAAGCTTTATGTTTGCGATATCCATCGCAGTAATTGGCGTTAATATAATCCGATCCTGGAATTCCATCCAGCGGTTGAAGAATAACTCTGCTATGGTCGTATGCTATGACATTAGCATATCTATTTTTGGGTTTGTTGATTTCAAGATTAGAGTTCTCCCATGTGAATTGCTGTCCTGGCTCGATTGACTGTCAAAACATTATTGTAAATTAGATCCTAGGAAATTGAATTTTTTTTTCGATTTCACGTTTACAACACAAGAAAAATACGTTGAACGCACAATTATACATATGCGGATTATTCTTGCAGCAGGCTTTCCCTCCCATCCCCTACAAAACTTATTCGGAGTTTTCAAAACAGACCGAAAAACCTGACTTTTTAGACGGAATTATTTTCAATGCAATGAATCTCACTGATAAGGCCTGGATAGAAGGAACAAGTTTAACGCTAATACATAGCAGGGGAAAAAAATTTGGATAGTATAAAACAGGGTTTCTTAAACATGAAACTGAATTTTTAGTTACCGAAATTAAATGAAACATTTATAAATTATTACCTCCTATTTTTTTACAATATGTGAGTATGAACTATGTGGGTTAACAAATTATTAATCCTCATAGTTTTTCAGTCCCCAATCCTTTTCATCATTTCAGTTTTTCAGTCCCCAACCCTTTTCATCACCGAGATTTTTCCGCGACTCCCAGGACTCCATAATATTAAAAAAAAACTTGTGGGACCCCATAAGTATTGCGCAAATCCGACACACGCGTAAGTGAAACTGTCAATGTTTTCGCTTGTACTGTAATATATTATTGCAGTTTTAGGTCATTAACTTTAATTTCTAATTTTAAGACATAGAACAATGGGGAAATTTTAAATAAGTAACAGACAAAATGACAGGGTCACGTTAAAGCAAGGAAAATGAACGTTTACATTATAAAAGGAATGCGTCGAAACGTTTTTTTCTTTCTCTGTATTGCCTTATCTTTATATTATTTCAGATACATTGTGTAAAAATATTTCGTAATGTAAAATTATTATAATAAGTTAAAGAAATATCAAAACTGCTAAAATTTTTGGCCACCCCTTGCTGAAGGTCCGAAGAGGAGTAAGTACCAGGGTTTCTTAAACTGTAGTCGCGACCCACAGTTTAAGAAACCCTGGTATAAAATAAGAAGATTCTAATAGAAGAGCATATGATATTATATGCAACAATAAATACAAGTGAACAGGGGATGGTTATGCCAGGTTTTGAATTCATTAACTAGACCTCATTTCTTCAACACGACGTCTTGCAGCAGGTGATCTGCAAGACCTGCTGGGTTGCAGTTAGTTTTCCTGCTAACTGTTTAGCAAAACTAACTACTGGGTTGCAGTTAGTTTTTCAGTTTATGTTGCAGATACCACAGGCTCCTTTAATGGTTTTCACTAAAAAAGACTAAATACAGAGAAAAACTGTAGCCACTCATATTGTCCGAAAGAATGTCAGGGTAGATCTAAAACAGAAATGTAACAGACTTTCTGCAAGGAAGGTAAAGCTGTAAATTTACGGAAATATTTTTATTATTATAATGAAACCCTATTTTAAATAGCCTGCATGCCACTCATTTAATATCTCTGAAGAGATTCTTTTTTCACTTAATCCCTAGATTAATCTCAATTTTATATCGCCAGTTTTGGATTATGCATGTTGTCTCATTACTCGTTATCCATGCATATCCAGGTAACCGTACTAATCAGCAGAGATAATTAGAAGTTCAGTATTTTCAAGTAAAACAAATGCTTATAACAGTTGTTTGTCGAATCTTCAAGAATTCGATTTTAAGTAACAATAATAATAATTATTAACATATATCAGACACTTTGAAGACAGAAAAATCCAAAACAAATGCAAAATGTATTTTAGAAGACTTCGCTTGTCGGCAAATTGCATATTGCAATTCGATGAATTTGGATGAATTTCGATGAATTTGGATACACAATACAAACGTTATTTAGAAAAAGAACAGTGTTTTGTTTGGAGGTGGGGGGGGCAGATGTCTTAATCCGCTTTGAATATGGGAGAATATTTTGCGTTGTATTACATCAGAAACATTTTAATTGTTTTGCATTTACGAAAGTAAAAATTAATTTAACAAACTTCCCACCAAACTTTACTATTATCATATCAGAATATAATGAATGAAAAAAAGAAATTATAATATTAATAATGCTCTACAATAGCCTTCAGATCTACTCTCAATTCGAAAAGATGTGCAAATTACATGACAGGAGGCATCTGAACTACTTTTTAAAATTTTAATAAAATAAATAAAATTCATAATGTGCGCTTGCATTATCGTATAATATTATACACTGAACAGATCTGCTTAAACAGTATTGCCCACCTCATATTCTTGAGAAAATAGAATATTGTCGTTTGCTTTGAGTCTCTCGATGTGATTGGATAATTCGGATACTGGAATTGGAGGATGGCTCATCATAGCAGGTGTTTGGTAGTTGATGCGACGTATTTCAACTGGATCCGTAGGGTGCGCCACCATCTCACGATCAGCGTGATTCATTAGAAGTTTCATGGTTGTTTCCCCAGCAGGCGTCTTTGCTAACTGTCGACGCCTAGAAGGAAGTGAAAATCAAGTACAGCTTAAAGCAAGTCTTTTAATAGATGAAAAATATTATAAGCTTTCAATTAGATTTCGGTTGATTAAGGCAAAGCACAACAGCGATTTCGATTTTAATTAACTTACTACTTCTAATTTTGAATCTTGTCTGCACGTCTATTGCTTCGTCTATTTTACTAGAATATTTAAATGAACTGAGTTATAAATAAAAAGCGAGAACCTAATTTTAGGAGGGAGAGCTGGAAATTTAATCCCGTCTTCTTAAAATTATAGTAGCTCATATTTTAATTAAGAGATGGCGCCACTGTTAAAAGTAAGTAAGCAAAGTACATGTTGATAGTCCTGGAGAAAAGAGATAATACTTGCTGAGACTATGAAATATTCTAAAACACAAGTGACTAGATCTGATGCAGGAGTAAAATCCAACAAATGTTTAGTTACCGAAATTAAATGAAACATTTATAAATTATTACCTCCTATTTTTTTACCATATGTGAGCATGAACTATGTGGGTTAACAAATTGTTAATCTTCATAGTTCATACTCACACACTGTATTTATTTTGCATATTTGTTTCAATTATGTATGCAATGTATGTTATTTAAGCTAGGTATTTTGTCTTTTTTGATTACGAGATGGCGCCATTCCAAGACAGTTGTGAATAAATAAAATTTATGCTGTGCATTTCGTATTCGAATCCTTCATATATTCACGCTTTCATCACTATTTTCAACAAAATTCTTCTGTTAATTACTTTTGAGAAAATATGCAAATGGACTAGCCATAACAGTTTAATAGTTTGTTTCCTGAATTAAATAATAATAAATAAAAATACAGGTAGTTAACTAAATCTTCAAGGACATAAAACGTAAAGCGAAGTCATGAAAAAGATGGCATATACTCATTAGTCTTCAAACAGCTTCAACTTCTAGCACCTGTAAAGTTATAGTTGAACAATTAAAACGCTGTGCAATTCTATAACGTTCTTCTAAATCAGGGTTTCTTAAACATTTTTCAGTCGACACCCCTTTTTATCACTGAGATTTTTTCACGACTCCCAGGACCCCATAATATTAACAGAAATTTTGTGGGACCCCATAAGTATTGCGCAAATCCGACACACGCGTAGGTCAAACTGTAGATTTTTTTCACTTGTACTGTAAAATACTATTGCAGTTTTAGGTCATTAACTTTAATTTCTTATTTTAAGGCATAGAACAATGTGAAAATCTTAAATAAGTAACAGACGAAACGACAGCGTCACGTGCAAAGCAAGGGAAATGAACGTTTATATTATAAAAAGAAATGCGTCGAAACGTTTTCGTTTTTTTCTTTGTCTGTATTGCTTTATCTTTATCTATTTTCAGATACATTGTGTAAAAATATTTTGGTGATTGTAAAACTATTGTAATAAGCTAAAGGAATGTCAAAACTGTTAAAATTTTTGACGATTCCCTGCTGCAGGTCCCGCGACCCATAGTTTAAGAAACACTGTTTTAATTAATAAAAAAATAATTAACTCAATTTACTGCTAACTGCGTTAAAATTTGCCTTTCATCGTTTATGAAAACGGTATTATCTTTCAAACCACAGTTTCAAACTTGGAAAATACAAAGTGGTCCGACATTCCGATGATACTTTGGACTTTTCAGATGAGAGAAGGATTTACCATGTATTTTTTTCTGCTATGAATTATACTCAGCTCACTCCCCAGTTCGTGTCCGAAACTGGATTCCTCAAATTTTCTTTTCCTTGATAATCTAATGACCGCAATGAATTTGTGACAATTATCTTAAATTTTACTAACAATTAAGTTTCATTTAAGCACTGTGCTATTTTAGTTTTGAGTCACGTCACATGTATTTGCTGAGAAGTTTATGCAAATTAAAGTACGCGAAAGAGATTTTAAAAGTGAAGTTTATTTCATGTTTCTGCGTGAACAGCCGCACAAATATTCGTAACTCTTTACGCGATATATCTACCTGCTTTGCAAAGATTTAATATTGGTCGAAGGTTAATTTTAATAACCGTTCACTGCAAGATATGTCACTAATTAATACCAAATGTTACTAATTAACTTCCGATAATAATCGAACTTTAAGTTTTATAAATTCTTGCTTAGTTATAATTTAACAAAGTAGAAGCAGTCAACTAAAGTTTACAAAGTTTTATTCTCTGCTTGTTCAAGTTAACTCTGAGATAACTCATCTACCGCAAGTGAGTATACTTTTAAGAATAGTTCAAGTAGTAAAGTTATTTAATTTTAGAACTGCAAAATTATTTCAAAACTACTATTAGAAGCCTTCTGCTGTAACCTTTCTCTCGTCACGCCACAGCTTGTTATTCTAATAAGCAAAGAATAGCTTCATTTTGTTCTTACGTTTTTCGTGTCTTTAAAGTTTGTTCACCACAATATTTTATTTCTCAAGTAACAAAAATTTCTCAAGTTTGCTCTGAACAAAAATTTTTCTTCTTTTGTTATTAATCAGGCTTTAAAACAAATTTTCCTTCCACGATGAAGAAAATTCTGCTATTAAAACAAGCACAATAGTAATCTTATCGCCATCTCATTTTCGCTTTTAGAAGTTACAGAATTATCCGGATTCTCCGCATTCAGTTTCCTGGTTATTTTCCCTCCAGTTAATAAAATATGTTGTCTAGTTTTCAAAGATTATGTTTTGGATTTCAGTCTCTGGTAAATTTATAATTGTTCCTATCAGTAAGGTTAAACGGATATCGAATAAACGATAACGAAATCGAATTTTTCAGCCCTTCGTTTACTATTTTATCGAAAGATGGCGTAACGGCTGATGTTTCTTTTTTTAAGAATTTGCTCATTTTATTTCGCTTATATGCGGCCCAGACGGTATTAGGAAGGCATGGTTGTAACTGTCCGTCCCTTCACAGGAGGCAATGGTGGCCCACCTATTAGGTGCCTCCATAATAAAGAGACCACCACATCTGGCCTTAGTATAGATTAATGAACTCTGTTACAAAACTGTAACTGTTCACAATCTGCTATTGGAAAAAAGAAATTTCGTTTATATAAATGATATTTTCAGCCATAGTGTAGAATAATTTGCTGCTCCAATAAAAACGATTCCAAGATTCTTTATACAAAATGCTGTTTATTTACGTTTAATAAAATAGAAGGTTAGAACTTTACGACCAACTGTTCTACAAATAAAGCTTGAGAATCTTCGTGAAGTATTTGTTGATATTGATGTTCTTAGTAATACACATGTTACTTGTTCAAAGATTCGCTGGAAGAAGGATTTTAACAGCGGCGCAAACCAAAAAAATATCTTCAGAATTCAAAACGTAAGCTTGCTGCCCGTAAAAGACAAGTCCGCTATCAAAAATTACCGTATTACCTGGCGTATTTTTCCCTCATTTGTTTTACTAATTTTAGTCTTCGAAAATGGAGAGAGGAAAATTACGCGAATAATTTAATTTTTAAAAGACGTCGTTGCAGTTAGAACATAATAAATGAAAAAATGTCAGGGATAACATACAGGTAACAATATAAATATTATTTCTTAAAAAACTAATATTCCGCTAAGAATACATAGCAATATTAACATTACAATATCTAATAAAATATCTTCGCTTCTATGTCCTTGTAACTTGAAACTTACTCGTTTTTACTGCTATAGCTGCTATTCTTTAGGCTTCAAACCATCCATAAATAATTATAAAATGTGAATGTGTATCAGTTCATGTTTGCTTCGTTGTGAGGGTCGGTTCTTGCATTGGGCCAGCGTTACTTAAACTGTGGGTCACGATCCGAAATGGGGTGGCAGATCTAAATGTTGTGGTCGCGAAAATTTAATTCAGATACATAAATTTAAAGAAATTACATTAATGAGACTTCAAAGGAAATATACTAATTGCTATTAACGAAATTAATCATCTGTAATAATTAAGCCTAAATAGAATTGGCTGAGCTATCGAGTGAATTTAAAAACATGAGTTTTCACAAACATCTTTGATTAAATTCTGAATCGGAGCTAGAACTGAATTTCCCGCAATTTCTGAAATGACGTTAATCTGTCATTCAGCTCCACATACTTAAATTTTCAGCTCTAACATTTATTAAATCCAAATATTGTTCGATGAAAAACTCTGAAAATGCTTTACGTCCAGCAGTGTTAAATATTGTACCAAAATTTAATTTACCAGATAACAAACGCAAATACAAGCATTTAATTTAAAACATTAACTTCCTCTCACTCATTTTTTCAAACTTGAAACGAACTCTAAAACTACTTTTTTCATACGCATATTATTTTATCAAAAAAAATAAAATATTTATTTTCATATTCTTATTCTATATTTAACATCTCCGGTAGGAAAGACATCTCAACGTCAAAAAGAGATCGTGAATAAAAAATGTTTAAGAAGCACTGCATTAAGCTGACATAAAATTCAACACTTAAAATAGAAAGGTTCGACGTGACCTTCACAGTTAGTTTGAGAAGCTTTGTCAGTAAGACGAAGACAATCACTACATATACGAATACATTTTTTTTAAAGTTTAGGGGAGCTCGTTTTTTGAACGCACTGAAGAAGTGGAAAATTATGCGAGTATTTTAAAATTTTCAGAAATGACGCTAAAATGCTAGGGGGTTGACAAGCAAGGAAATATGGTATATGCGAGAAAAGATTAAAAGCATTTGGTATAGCTTACAACATGCATGTTATGTAATATGTAAACAACATATATGTTACATAATATAACATAAAGTTTACATACATGTGATGTAATACGCATATATAAACAAGTTATACAATATGTTTCGATACATGTTTGTACAATTTACAATAAGATATTAGAGAGCTTTATAAGTAAAGCATCTATATGTGGAACTCCGGGAACTTTATTTGTAAAAAATGTGTTTATTGGCACTTATGCATTTGCGCCCGTAATAAGGCAAGTCAGAAGATTTGCTGAAAATAAAATTTCATAGCGGCACAGTATCAAATAATACTTTTTAGACATTATAAAGCGGATACGCCCCACATGAAAAATTACTATAGCTTAATGGAGGGGGAGGGAACTTAAATAGAAGTTGTTTAGCTATAATATATTCCGATAAAGTATTTTAATATGTAATTACTACGATCACATATCTCGTCTGATTCGTCTAAATTTACTCGGAAAATGAAAGAATGTTCAGATTCAGTATATCTGAGAGCTATTTTTAGAAATACTACATGACGAATTTAATTTTTCTCCAAGAAAAGTAAATTAATTTCCTTCTGATTAATGGATTATTTTCGCATTTGATCAATGGGTATAAGTTCTAGCAGTAAGCTTACAGTCATTAGAGAGAAGAATCATCTTTCCTTACCTTCTAAGCAAAACCAAAACGACAACAAAAGTGACGATGATGAGTAATAAGAGGACAGGGGCTACAATCCAGATAACTCCAGCCTCCTCCACACTTCCGTCGATTTCGGATATGTCCGGTCGATCGGTTTTATCCCAGCTTCCGCCACTGCCTACAACGGGGTGGCCTGAACCTGCCGCCATATCCAGGCTCAAACTATCCGAAAAAGGACTGCTGGTGTATAGACTCTGAAAATTAAAAAAGAAAATGAATAAAAAGATAAGTTTTTAATTTTTATATTTATTTAAAAGTTTTCGAAAGCTGTTTTCCCTGCAATGAAGTGACTGAACAACAGACAATCAAACGACGCAATGGGGAAAATCTCTTTAATTCCAGAGATTTTATCTGCAGTGTTCATAAATTATGGTACGAAAACCAAGTGGAGACAGACACCAAGGACGTTCAAGGATTTTAGGGGGGACTTGATATTGGGCACGCATCCAAGAAAGGGAGTGGAAGGATTCATTCTAGATTTAAGGGGTTTGAGAGAGGGATTTATGGTCAGTCTCTTTATCTCTTTATGCTATTCTTATTAAATATTTCGGATAAAAAGAACAGAAATGAATCATCAATTTTGTTAAATTTCGGTGAAGTAAAATAATGTATTAATTTAATGAATTTAAATGTAAGCCTAAATCATTGTTGAATTTATTTATTTATTAGTTTATTTACAAGCTACAAAACTGTGTCGTAAAAGAAAATCGAACATTTTTGTTTCCAGAGAAGTGGCGCCATCCTTAAGATAAAGGGGATAACTTCCGGTTTCTTTCCCCTTCTTTTCTCTCGCTCTCTCCCCCCCCTTTCCCAACAATCAATTTCAACAAAAGAATAGCAGGATTCAAAATGTCTCTTTTTAAACAATTAGAAATTTCATCCATCGTCTTAACTCCAGTTATCCGGATTCAAGATATCCGGAATTATGTATCCGGATTTTTTACGCATCTTTCTACGCCAAATAAAATTAAGATTTATGTTTATTTAGTCACATGTTTTTAATATTTTCGTTAATTTATATTAGATAAAGGGTAATGCAATAAAATATGCGTATTTTAAAAAAGCTTTCACACTAATATAAATGGATCCATATAACCTCTTTACTGTTCATAAATGCAAAATTCGGCGATTTGTTTTACGGGAAGGAAAAAGAAGTAGCTTTTCTGGTAAATTTTAATGTGCTAAAACTGAAAGAAAACTGAGTGTTTAGTTTTGAAGCACAGGTATATAAAAACAAATTTTATTGCTATACTTTTCTTAAAACGTGGTAAAAAATAAAGTAATTAAAACTATAGTGTGAAAACTTCAGACTGCAGTCTACTCTTTAAAAAAAGCTTACTAATAACAAAAAATAAATAAAACAAAGAAAACATTAAAAAAAAATCCTGTATTAGATACATACTTCAGACACATTTTTTATTACTTAAAACCAAAACTGAAAATATTTTTAGAAATTATTATTTGAATCATAACCCAAATGCATTTTAAGTTATATCAATCAGATACATTGCTAAAAACGCAAAATAAAGGTAGACTATTTCGTAATGGGGTTTACTGCTTTTAAATTAAGGTCCTCTATTTGCTCTTTATTTATGTATTACATTTATTTTTTGGAAAATGCGAGTTGAAAGTATCACGGTATTAAAACGATAGGACTGAGCTGGATTACTAAATTTAGGAAGAATATCTGAGAGCTATTTGCCTCAGTTTCATCTCAGTTTTGACGAATCCGGCAGACTTGTACCAATTTTTCTTTAGCACCAGCCACTCGATAGAAATTTTGGCTCGACAGATTTTTAAGTAATATCACCAACGCCGCCAAAAATTATGTTATCTGGAGATTGTCTTAATTAGAATTCGAACAAAACACATTTGACTGGAGTCAGTGCATATAAAAATGATGTCATAGAATTGCAACACAGGAAAAACACAAATAAAGGATAAAAGAATCAGAGACTTACTTTATGAGGAGTATCCACGACGGCACGGACGAAAACTTTATACCGGACTCCATGCAACAAGTGGCGGTTAACAAAACCCATATACATTTTTCCGTCACCCAAGGAGAAGCTTTGCGGCATGGTTCGACGTAGGAATTTTGCAGCTATAAAAGGACCAGTTTGATCGGGTTTTGTAGCTGTTAGCTGGAAAACAACATAGAATTCTTACTGCATGAAATAGAACGAATAAGATAAGTGAACTTTAGGAATCACCAATCACTAGCGACATATTCTCAATTCGCATTCATAAGAGAATAACATCACAACTAAAAACTATTGATTTTGATCTACCATACCGGAAAAGAATTAAACTACATGAGTTCGAAAACTACTTTCAAATGACGAAACTTCTGCTGTATAAGGCAACAAAATACAATTTTCAATCAAAAAAATTATTTGTATTTCTTGAAGAATATTAGAATATTTCTTTCTTATTAGAATGAAAAATTCAATTTGCAGACGCAGCAACACTGAGCTTTTGAAAATAGAAAAAGTTTGAATTACACAACAATTTTATGAAATGTAAATATATTCGTTTTAGTTATACGCAATAAATAAACAAATAAAATAAAAGTGCTTTCCCCCCTTTTCATTCGATATGGAAGATTTGATTCAGTACCTGAAACGGATGCGTGTAAACCTCGTTCATCATCCAACGGACTTTTGTTTTTTATGCACATAAGGCTAGAAAATTAAATACATCCTACAAAAGAGAAGTAATTTCTTGAGCGATTGAGATTTTGATTTCACGAGTTTTATTAATGTAAAATTTTCATAATTTTAGTTTGTAAGTTGGAAATGAAAATAAAAAATAATGAAGTTAAAAAGTAAATCTAATTTTGATTTAGAAAATCAATCGCGGAACCTGACTACCGATCCTCATCTCTCCAGGGACTAGGACCACAGTTTAAAAATCGTTGCCATACTGGCTTTAATGAGGTTCAAATTTATAATCGCCCAGAATTAAATGGTAATTAAAAAATCACCATTAAGGAACAGAAATGTCTGCCACTAGTGCGATGAGCTAGTTTTGAATGGGGTCCTCGGAATGCATTGGGGATGAAAACGTCGCGGAGAAAACAACTCAAGGCGCAAGCGTCGTCGTACAAAACGTCGTGGGAGAAAAGAAAACAAGGAAAAAAACATCGGGGTACAAAACCTCGTCATCTAAAAACAAGCGGTTAAAAATTTTTACAGTTTAAAATACCGTCATTGATAATATCTTGGTAAAAAATAAAGCACTTACAAATCTTCGCATGACGATAACATAGTATCCATGAGTTTTCAGGCTTTAAAAATTCGCATTTACGATTTCTGAGCACGTGAAGGAATGAGGAATATTGTTAATTTTATACTTTTGAATTAATTAATAAATTTTTGATGAAAAATAAAAAGGACATTTAAGCATTCAACAACTGAAAAAGAGTATAAAATTAATGCAGTTAATAGAATTTTAAAATTATATTGTTAACTAATAAAGGTCATTAATTAATCTCTTTTATGAAATTTGTTGGTAATTTTTCATGAGAAATATAGTTTAAAATGATTAGAAAAAGGACGATGAATAACTGCATGATGTTACCTCTTTTAAAATTAATTAGTTATCAAATTTTAAAATTCTGTTAACTGCAATAAGTAGCGTTACTTTTCTACTCATTTTCAGTTTATGAACGCTTAAGTTTTCTTCTTTCTCTTTCAGCAAAAATTTATTAGCTAATTCAAAAATAAAAAAAGTAAAAATATTCCTCATTTCTTCTTGCACTCACAAATCATTATACGAATATGGATTTAGCCAGTATGTTAAAGCCTGCAAAACGCATGTTGCGATGATTTGTAAATGCTTTATTTTTTACCAAGATATTTTCGACGACGATGTTTTTAAACTGCGAAGTTTATGAACTGCTTTATTTTCAACGTCGATGTTTTGTACTACGATATTCTAGAACTGTGAAGTTTTTTTCTTGCTTTCTTTTCTCTCACGATGTTTTGTTCGACGACATTTTCGTCTTGCGTTGTTTTCTCCACGAAGTTTTCATAAACATGTGGCTTTAGAGGTGATTGAACAAGTTCATGTAGCAAACAACTCGCCTAAAAATTAAATACTCTTAATGCAATACTTCAGGCAAAATCAATCGAGAATAAAATGTGTCTAAAAAGGAAACAGTTATAGGACAACATTTAAGTATAATCAATGGAAAAAACAGAGATGACTCGAAGTAAAAAAAGACGCACATTTTAAAAAAAGGCATAGTTCATCAATCAACAAGAGTGACACATAGTTCCAAGAGCGTCCTTGATTGTCTTACGGAAGGCAAAATGAAAAGCAAACTAAAAGCGTTCAGTCTCAGGATTATTTCGATATAAAAATTCTTCTTTCGTTATAGAGAATTTCTTACAAAAGCTTAAAAGGTTGCCTTCTCAAAATTTTTAAACAATTAGTTTTTGATTTTCGCTCACCTTGAAAAAGGAAGTTTTATAAACCGTGATTCTATTTTTTTAAGAATGCGTTACATTAATAAAGAGAACAAGAAATTAAAGATACTATGTAGAAGTTGTCTTCAAACTTCATTTTCGCAGGATAACCTAAAACCATACTCTCCTTTTTGGTGGAAACACTATAACAAATTTTTTTTTGTACAACAATAAAAATTGATATTTGTTTTGGAAGCCTTAAAATGTTTTTGATGAAATCTTTACCATCTCAGAAAATTAAACTGAAAGAAAGGGCTGAAAATATATCATTGCTACATGTTCTTTATAAAAGAGAAGTCAAAAGAAAATCATTAGGTAATTATAGTTTTACTTGTTAAAACTGATTCACTTTATTTTATTTTAGGTAACAATAATTATAGAAATAAAGATTATTATTTAATTAATTATTGTTTTAGGTAGTTAGTTTTGCGGTTCGTGTGGTTTTTCGAGTTTTGATTTGATTTTAGGAATCCCCAGAAGAATTGTTTGGAACTCCAGAGTTACCAGGAACACAATTTGAATACCATAGTTGCAGATAAACATATGATGTATAAAAAATAATCACGAAGTTACGAAAAGACGCCAGTGTAAAACGCAAAATTAGGCAGGGAAAAAATCTTAACATAGGTACAAATTTTACATAAAACTATAGAAATTTCGAAAGAGACCGTCTTTTTCTGAAGAAAAAAAAATGCGACATTCGTTTACCCCTTTTTTGTTGCTGAAGAAGAGGGAATTATATCAGTACCCCTCGGTATCATTTTTACGTAAAATCTATGCCCATATAAAGTTAAGTTTTAGCCCGATTTTACATCCAACAGTTAGTATAAAAGGAAAATTACTGTGAGAAATGAGATGAATGATGAATAATGGATCAAAGTGTTTTTTAAGGAAATTAAATTTGTTCTGTAATTTTATGAAAAACTCTTTTATCTTCAGGATGAAGAGACTAAATTTAGCTGGATTCCTCCGGAGCCTGTCTCCAATACTTCTCAGTTTTCGACTGAAATCGTAATTCTATCAAGACCGCACTGTAGCCCCAAATAACACAAGCTCCGGTATACTTATCATAACTGAATCAAAATATTAACAGAAAATTCTGTTATTACTTAGCAGTTAATAAAACTAACAGGGTTGCTAGACACTAAATGTTCTCATTTTTTCCCAGGAATAATCTCATTTTTTCCAGGGAGAGAAAGTACGCAAGCTGAGAACGAAAATCCTCATGTCGAAATGTAGTCTCCGGGAACAACAAAAATGAGTTGCTCCCATGAAGGGCAGAGCTCAGAAGACCTATGGGAGTGACGGTTAAGGGATCAATGACTTTTCATTTGTTTTGTTATTTTATTTAATTTATACGATAATTTATTTTTTAAACGTATTTATCATTAATTTCTTGATATTTTATTTATGTTTTTTTTATTTTAATTCTAATTCTATAGTATTATTTATTGCTTTATTGATTATTTATTTCTGTAAAGCGTATCTGCCAATTTTCCTACGGTTTCAACACTTCTAGTATTAGAAATTTAAGCCCTGTCTGTAAGGGATAACATAGAAAATTTAACAGATTAGAAAACGATGCTTGTTTTATTCAATTATGAATTATTGCATACGATTTGGTGTGAATTATCACTCACTTCTTCTATAGTGAAATCATCCGGTTCTTTGGTAGCGAACTGTTCGGGTACCACAACAAGGAAATAATGACTAATGGGACCATATTCCTCAGATGCTTGTGGAAGAACAACTGTGATTTCCATATTATTATGTACTCCAAATGAGTCTGGTTTCACCATCGGTTTCGGAGCTGTAAAATAATCGAATAGATATTAAACAGCTACATATATTTTTAAGTGGAAAAGAAACACACCATATAACATTTTAAATTGAGTAAAAACCCAACTTAATATTTGCTTAGATTTTGAATAAAACTCTACGAATTTCCTGGGATTCAGTTTTTTTTTCCAAAACGGGAGGAGCGACGACTGTATATTTTATGTAAGTCAGTACTCTAAGCAAAGGAAGAATGAACCCAGCACCATCTCTTGAGAGAAAAACAGCTATGGAATAAGAAATTAATGTTTATTATCTCAGTGTTTTTGCGTTTCATCAACTGTTTTCCTCGCTAAAGGTGCATGTTTATTTGCACTTTGTTCAACCTATTGATTCCCATATAAATTTGGTAGATACTTCTCCCATCTTTGAAAAAAAAATATTCTGCTTCTTAAGGAGGATGAATATTCTTTGGAAATCAATGAATTTTATTCAAAATATGTACCAATCCAAAGTTACACTTTTGTCTTATTTTAGAAGCTACACATACTTCAATCAAGCGGAAAGAAAAGAGTTAATTTATGTGGAAATCAGACAGTCTTAATATAATTTTTATGCGCATAACGCAACATATATTTCTTAAAGTCTCTTCCTATCCTTTAAATTATAAGTTAGGCAATAGTTTCATCGTGGGCAAAACGTCAAAATTCAAGAACTAAGTGAGGGATAACCCTTGAATTTTCACAGCCTGAAATCCTTAATAATTTCTTAGCCCCAGAGGATTTTTATTTGCATTTCTACGAGAGAGAGAGGAAATAACTCTAACCTACATAGGAATAAAAGAAATAACTAGAACATAACTAAATTAGTATTGTTACAAATTCTTTTAATCAATCAACATCTATAATGATAACGTAAACAGTGCCATTATTTGAGATTAAGATTTCCATTAAAGTGCATGGTTTAATGGAAAGCTTCTTTTTTATTTTGCTATCCTACAAATAATAATATAACTCAAAATAATGTTTTATTTTTCTTTTTTGTGAAGAAAGTTTGGTTTATCAATTTCGAAAGTAACTTAAGAACATAAAATTTTATAAAGGCCTAAAAAAGGTGGAACTTTTCTAGAATTAGGATATTAAAATTTATCACAATAACTAAAACACCAGAAACATGGTAAAAATTAATTTCTTTAAAATAAGTATCATGTTTCTATTTATTTATGTAATGACGATCATGAGATTCCTTTTCAGCAATTTTTCTAGTACTTTCTATTGGCAGTTATAGGTCGTGATCTTGGGACATATTTAAAGTACCGTATTTTTTTGTAATTTCAATATTTGCTTTGCTAGGTTGATAATTTTTAGCTTGAACTTCATGATCCAGAAATGTTATCTTTTCTTTTGCGAAGTAATGCTTTAATATTTTAAAGTTTCCTTCTCATATATTTGAAATTCTATTTTAGGATGCTGACAATATTCTTCTTCTGAGAGTATACTATGATGTTAACAAAATAACTGAACCTGATATGCGTTTAAAATTTGTGTAATAGTTCTATAAAATCTATCTCTTTGAAAAGCAATTGGGGATGAATTATAACTTACAGATTTCTTGTCTTACTTTCTACAATGACGGGTCAAAACATTATGACTGTCCCGAAATCTTTCAGTGAACACGTCTGGATGACGTGGAGGGCACGTAATTAAGTGGGAATGGTATTTAATTGCTGCTGGAAAAAGTAAGGAATCGTTGTTGCACTTTTGCGAATGATGAGAAAGGCTGTTGATCTAAGCGAATTTTATAGAGGACAAATGGCCCGAAGACTTGCAAACAGTATCTCCGAAATTGCACGACTGGTAGGTTGTTCACGATCTACTGTTGTTAGTGTTTATGCGAAGTGGATAAATGCCGGTGAAACCAGCAGTAGACACCAAGGTGTTGGACGTTCACGCGTCATCAAAGAAAAACGTTCTTTAATTTTTTTATATCCTTACATAGTAGATTCCTTTATTTTTATGCATTCCATAGTTATTTTTATTTAATTCTTATAGTTTTCAGTGTAGTCATATTTATTAAAAAATACTCACAAAAATAATGTTTGAGTCTAATAAACACAGTTTCTTAATTAAAATAAAATGGCGTATAGCTAGCTTACCTGCCATGGCAGTGGTAACGGTTATTTTGGCGGGAGGTCGGAAGGAATTATCTTGAGGAATGGCAGTAATGTTCACTTGATAACTAGTGAAGGGCATTAGGTTGTCCACTCGAAGCTCTGTTACGGAAGAATCCACATAAATAACCTGAGGAGGAATGGGGAGTTCTTGAAGCACTTCTTGGCTATCATAGAACTCTTTGTGCGCACTGTAAGAAATCTGTAAAAAGAATATACTTACATTAATGTACTAGAACTAATAACAGGGTGGTTATATATTAATTATTTATACAAAAATTTATATTATTGTTATATTATGGTAGAAATTTAAAGACTCATTTGGAATTCAACCAGGCCAGCTACCTCGTTGCAAAAGATCTTCGTAGTGCTGGAAATTATGACTTGCTGATCGGACCATAGTGCCTATTAGATTTCAGCAACGTTCAACTAAATTTTGTTCTTCTCTTAAAACTAACACAAAAGAATTAACGTGGCTCGCAGTTTGATTGTACTAGAAATAACTAACGCCGTTTTCCATGGATTAGTAGATTCACTTTTATAAACATGGTTCAGTGAGGGACAGGGACATGAACTACGAAGCTACTGTACACAGCATATCTTTTCCCCTTCACAAATTCACAAAGCATTCGGGGATAACATCACTAGTTTTGATGGCGAGCGTGAAGTAATACCTATACAGCTTTGCAGTCGTAAAAACGCTTTCTCCAAAGCCATTATTCTATCGAACTCTAGATCTGTCCTTCACGTTTCTTACCAGAAATAAAACTTGCGATTCAATAGGTATTTATGAAGACATCTTCTGAATTTTCTTGGCAACTCTCATTGGGTGCCGGCTCATTGTGGAGTGCAGAGAAATGACAGCTCTGATTTCCTGGCAAAGAAAGAAACGATTCTCCTCCAGAAATTTCATGACTTTTTATTATGGTAAAAGACTGATAAACAGAAATTTAGCAACATTCCTAACTGCGCTTAAAAGTTCGGGGAACAGCTTGGTAATCTCTCCTCAATAAGGAATATCCCACATTCTCCTCGTGCTACTGTTGCGGCATGATTGCCTCAATATTCGTCTCTTTTACATCAGATTCAGAAGTTCCTCAATCTTTTTGTGACTCTGGACAACCCAAGGACAAGCCAGGTGTTTGTAAATTAATTAATAAAAATATTATAATAATAACAGTACTATAAAATTGTTTTGAAAATTTCGCCCTTTCAAGTTAATAGATGAATAAACAGTATTAAGAATAATGAAACAAAACAATTCTCATAAAAGAAATTGACACAAGGCAAAAGTATTCCGATCGAAGGCTGAACATTATAACAGGTTTAAACTAATTTGAAAAACTGCGGCCAATATTCAAGGCATTGTCATAGACGAACGAGCTTAAAGATGCTCGCCATTTAACGAAATCGTCCAAATGAAGCCGATTTTCTTCATGGACGTTATCAAAGGACGGAAGATCCCCAAATCCCCATCCAAATAAATAAATAACACAACATTAATATCATGATTGGTAAAGAAATTAATATGATATCATTAAAATAAATTACATATTTATACACAATGTCATAAAATTTTGTAATTATTTCTTAAAATGGCATAATCGCTTTTTTAATTTGAAAACATCGTCCTTTTCGGAACAAAAACATAGTGGCATCTCTTCGATTTAATTAAAGGCACAAAAAAGTACTGCTGAAGTAAAACATACGGCTCCTGGATGACGCTGATTAAAAATTCAGAGCTTCTGTAGAACATTAAAGTGTACGGAGCAGAAACATGAAAAATCAGTCATGCCTAGGCCAGAACCTCAATCTAAACCTTATATACTAAATGGAGTTAAAATAACACGCCGAAAAGATATATTCAACGAAAGATATATTCAAAGATAAATTATGAATCCGATACGAGATTATTAGGTCACTAAAAAGAAAAATAAGGGCTTGCAAAAGGACAGCTAAAACATTCGTTGGTTCCTAGCATAAAACTATAATCTAAAATATCCAAGGAATTGTCCACTTTTTAAAAACGATAATCTTCGTAATTTTCAATTAATATGCGAGCATTTAAAATTCAACTCTTTTAACGCTTCATCTGATTTCATTTAAATTACATTTTCACGTTCATCTTACTTCTATAGAACCAAGTGTATTTTTTTTAAATATGAAAGAATACTTTAAAGCTGAAAGGAAATTGATAAGCTTCTTTAATGCATTAAAAATGGTGTAGGGCATAAATGTTATGACCGCCTATTTTTTATATATATTGTTAAGAATTTTGTGCAATTTAGTGAAATTATATATGAAATTTTTGTATTTTCTTATATAATCTGACATGAAAATCTAAAAGCAGCATGCTCTGCCGAAAAAATAAGAATACAGGGGAAAGTTTATTGAACATTGAGTAAATGGCTATCTTGCTAAATTGGCAAGATATTACCAAGCTGGCAACGGTTTTGGCAACTAATTTTTGTCGCAAAATTTGGCCAAAATCGCCAAAACTAGCCAAACTTGGAAATTATTTGGCGGCATTTTGTTCCGGTCCGTAATATCACCGTAATACATTTTGTAATCGATTAGATGTTATTTGTCACTATATGATATCACTATGTGATATGGCGAACACCTGTGTGAGTATTTCTGCAGAAAGTTCCTAACGTCCGAAGTGTTAAATTTGATAAAATAATTTTATCAACCTATCATCGGCCAATATGACATTATAGCAATACATTTGCTATAACGTATTGCACAATACTGAACATTGGACACAAAGAGGACAATACGATATTAAAATTTTATTCAGTTACTGGTAAAAAGTTTAACCTCTGCCCCCCACATAAGCCATATTTCTACAAGATGCATAAAAATAATTGACCAGTGGAAGCAAAACAGCAAAATTATAAGAAAAAGTTTTGTACACTTTTATCAAATTAGACACTAAACTACGCATTTTATAAAGGCTATGGATTTTTAATTAAGTATTTTCTTACCTTATATTTCGCAGGATCCAATTTTGTAGGGGCTTTCCATGTCAGTAGCATCCCATGAGTGGTCACATCTTGAGCTCTTAATTGGGTTGGAACATCTAAAAAAATAACTGAAATCAATATATGTAAGCACAGTTAGCATATTATTTTTGAATTCTTACTTTTTTTATATTAAAATTGAATATTTAACTTGTTAACCCCTTAATGCAGCAAAAAAAATTCAGAAATTAATTTTTCTTCGGCCAATTTTTTAAATTCCTACTATTAGCTCACACTCTCCCTTTCAAATTTTCAGTCGCTCATAAAATATTTTTTATTCATCCACTCAAGCACTCAAGTTCATATATATTTTTTTAAACTTGCAGTGGATGACACTTGATGTTAATACAATTTTTTCACATATTAAAAATCTGTAGTTTACAAATTTTTAATGAGAAATTTTTTTTGTATTATTATTATTATTTTTTTTTTTGCATTTAAAAAAAATGTTCTTTGTTGACCTTAGTAGGAATTGACTTTAAATTTTTTTTATATTACTTGCTTATTCTTTTCTTTAACTCAACTTTTTTTAACACTTTCTTTATTTTAATTCAAAACTGCAGCGGATATATTCTGTTGTACTCATATTTGAAAAAGAATTCTTGAGCGTATTTACTCGGGTGCGAGTAAATAATTCAGTTTAGTGTACCCGATTTAACTCTGTTGAGTGCATTAAGAGGTTAAAGTATATTTTAGTTATCGTTCCGCTTATTAATGGATTCAGTTTTAACAAGTAAAATCGCCATTTATGAATGCCATCTTCTTGTTTAAGTTTCAGTGCTTTTTATAGACAAATCACGATATATTTTTATCTTAAACTCAATTTTACAATACAGTAAACCCTTTCAGAACGCGGATTTGCGGAATGCGATTTTCAGTATACGCTTTATCTTATTTGTCTGTTGCTGTAATGTTTACTTGTTTATTGCTGTAGTTTTCAGTAAAAGCCTTAACTTAATTGTCTGCTGCTTAATATCTGTTGCTGAAATTCAGGTAAATTCAGGTCTTCGTTAACTCTAGGATAGTGTGTTTTCAGAAGACAGCTACATATTTTAGAATTTATGATCAGTCGACATAATCAGAATTAATTACAGAATTCCTCAGAATTAACAACGCTTTGCCATGCAAAAAGAAAAAAAAAAAAAACTTCCTATCTTACTGTGTACTGTTGAAGACTTATACAGAATAAAAACTGGTTTTAAACAATGCTAAATATTTCAGTTACACGTTTCGTAGTAGCATCGCCCTGTTGGGCAACGTTCAAAGGATGAGATGGTTAGTGACGTAATGGGTTCGACCATTCCTGATCAATGCTTAATGAGCAAGTGCTCGATCATTGGGGCCGGACTATTGTACTAGACATTTTAAAGGAAGCTTTTCTATATTCCATAGGTTTCTTTCACATTGACAGCATGAGGTAACTAGATTTACGGGAATTATTTCTATTTTAAAGAGCAAGGGGGTAAGTACTTTTAACCACCGACAGAAGAGTCTTCCTTAGTGAATCACGCGGGTAGGGTAATAGCAAGATGCAATGATGTTTGTGTAACGATCTTTTCCAGTGATTTCCATTATTTTCTAGGATGCTATGAGAAAGGAGTTTCCCTTCGCCCTGATGGTTAGGTTACTGGCAGTTTGCAGTTTAGAAAAATACGCAAGCATAGGATCTGTTCCTACTGATCATCAAATGATTGACTTGTGCACTGTTTCATTTTTAAACAAGAACTTAAGGATGAAAGCTCTTTCCCCAAGCTTCCTTTTTGAATCAGTCTTTTTATCTCAACAATATCCATATTTCATTGTTTAATTTCAAAATTAAGACTGCTAGAAATGATGGAACTATATTCTTCGACGAATGCATACTTTCTAGCATACCAAGTGTCAGCTTAATTTGTCGGCTACTATATACGCATATATAACTCGGAAAAGAATTATCAATTTTAATTACATATTCCGGCTGATTTAACAGCTACTACACGGACCGGGGTCCAACTGAACATTCTCGATATCAGGCACAAGGTTTAACACGAATACATAAAAACAAACTTTACTTACTGCGCTATTTAGCAAGGTATTTTAAACAAAACAGGAACGTAATATCCGAACATGCATAGTTAGTTACAGCACTAAAAAGACGGCATCATACATTCCTCCAATCCAATCTATAAACCACCTTGATGATGATAATGCAAATTCCTCAATCGAGTCGCAAGGCTCCAGTCCTGGGTCAACGGATTTTAAATAAGTTTCCACACCCATCTCTGAACAACTCAACCGGGGTCACCACATCCGGCGACCGCAGACCAGTATGAGGGAAAGCGCTATTAGCATAGAGGTCTAACTGGTCGTCTAAATACTACCTACGATTAAGTAATATGCGGGCTCACTAGGAGTTTGAGTCTGATACAGGCCTTGCGCCAAAGCTTGAAAAATCCACGATAGGCTCGTGTTTTTATCGCAAGGTGCCGAGAGTTCCAGGCGATCTCTGCCAATACAATAAACGACGACTGCCGGGGAGGGGAGGAATGCAGTAAGGAAGGACAAAAACTATACAATATCAGCAAATGGTGTTTCTAAAAAATCACGCTGGAAAAAAGAACGTAAATACATATCTGAAATCAGGAAACACGAATACATAAAAACAAACTTTACTTACTGTATCCAGCAGTGTATTTTAAACAAAGCTTGAACACATGCATAGTTAGTTACAGCACTAAAAAGATGGCATCATACATTCTTCCACTGAGTAATGATCTCAGATAAAATATTTTAAGTGACTTAAAATGCTACATTGCATTAATAGATATATAAAATTTACACAAAAGAAACACACTTAAGAGCGCATGAAAACAAAAGAGAATAGGTGCAATTGAGTACTTCGTAATGTGTTTCAGTTTGTTAATAATTGAAATAATTTGTGGAATAGAGAAGCAACATGCTCCGAAAACTGAAGTACTTGAAGTAGAATGAATACTACTTGAAGTAGAATATCTGTAAATGAATTTCTAGCACTCTAGGGTACTTGGTAATGTATTTCAATTTGTTAATAAACGGAATAAATTAGGGAGGCAAGATGTTTTAAGCAACATGTTCAGAAAAGTGGCATTTAAAGGGGAATATCCGAACATTAATTTATAGCACTCCAGAGACATAATTGCATACGTACATTTTAAATGATTTAGAGATATGTTATCGCGTGAGTTTATGTTTCGCAGAATAGTCTCTAAAATATTTTGCAGCATTGCTATTCAATCATATACTTTCTAATTTTCTAAAAAAATAATTAGTGATATTTTATGGCAATTACAGAGAATCAACAATTTCTAAGAACAAAATAAGCTACTTATTTAAACTTTGAAATTCATTTTAGGGAGTTAAAGGGCAATCAGTTTAATTTTTTAGAAGTGACATCACCATGGCAACTAATATTATACCAGCAACATCAGTTATAAAAACTGTCAGAGTGTGGAAGAAACATCTATAACAAAATAATTCTGTGAAATTGTTGTTAGATTTAAAATAATACCACATATTTTAAAAACAATTTTACATGAGGATACTCCAGCAAAAGTGAATCAGATGTATGTTAATAAAGAATGTGAATTAAGGGCTTAAAATATACTTTTTGTTGCACTAAAGTATGTTCCTATTACATTAAAATTACCCTACCGTTTAAAGAAATGTTTTGGTATTGAATTAAAAGGTGTTCATACTCAAAATACCATAACAGTCAAGAACCTAATAAAAGCGGCCACCAGTTTGAACTTTAAACATAGAGTGCTTGAAAAATTATTCAGAATGGGAAAAAATAAAAACTATGGAGAAATAATAGGTTTTTCTTTCGTTTCATCTCTTCCCCCTCTTTCTTTTTTCCTATAATGTGATTTTTAAATTTGCTGCATAATCTTGTTTCGCAATATTTGTCGAGCGCGATGCGAACAACTCATTTCTTTGATGTTTTCCGCAAAAAGCAATCAAGACATACGGTGTCTGAATCTAGCATCAAATCCATCTATAGGAGAAAATTCCTTATTATAACAGACTCGCACAAACAACTCCACTCCGACAAGGGAATACACCATATAGCTTCGCAGTGATATCTAGATGTAAATGATAAAGTTGAGAGACACAAAATTTTTTATAACCACCAAATAAACTGCTTTCGTGACATTAGGTTGGGCAAAAAAGGAAGGATCTAATAATAATGGTAATAATTGTAATAACAAGAAGAAGAAAAAAAGAAAAAAAAAGATAATCTCAAAGGATTTATATTTTAACGTCGACAAAATGATTTGTCAAGAGTTTTTATGTTCTCGCTGAGCTCGTAGTTTACCAGTTTTCCCTTACACTCTTTTCTGCTAAAACAACATTTTCCGTCTTTATTATTAAACACTGCTTTTTTCGAAATTGCGCCATATGCAATTCAACAATATAACCACAAAACTTTTAAAAGCAGCATATTTTTAGAATTGCCGATAGAGGATTAAGTGCTGCCTTACCCTTTTCTACTTTTTCAGTCTTTTCTTAGTTCATCATATTAATGTTCAGTTTTCTTAACAAGAAAACCTACGAACTTTTTTTGTCTTTTTAACTTTAGCATTAAACATCACTTTCTTCACACTTACGCCGCATAAAATTCAACAACAAAATCACAAACTATTTAAAAACAGCATATGTTTAAAATTCTCGATATAGTGTCATGTGTTGCATTAATTTTTTTTCTCAGTTCATCATATCTATGTTCAGTTTTTTTAGTAAGATGACTTATGTAACTATTGTTTAATCTTTCAATTATTAACTTTTTATCTTTTTAACTTTATTTATTAAATATCACTTTTTTCACACTTATATCATGTAAAATTCAACAGAAAAATCATAAAATATTTAAAAAAACTATATCTTTAGATTTCCCGATAAAGTGTTACATGCTTTTTTTTTTTTTAATATTCTCAACATTATTCATTATTTTTTGAAAATACTACACATCGATAGCACCTTTTTATTTGAAAAGTGATACGGATAAAAAAAGTGAGGATCCAAATTAACAGCACCTCTGGCGAAAAAAAAATATATACTCATTACTACAGCAATCTGTAAATGTTCAGTTTTCTCCCGCTTCTGTGCTCTTTTGTGATAAACATTTTTCAGTATGCTAAGGACATTTAGATATATTTCTAAATTTTAACTATTTATTTCTCACTTACCTGTTGGAGTAACTCTAACTGTAATAAGCTCAGACAGTCTTCCTAAACCCTGCCGCGTAGATGCTGCCACACGAATTGCGTACATAGTGTGCGTATCCAGACCTGTCAACTCCGCAGACCATGTCAACGGTACCGCTTTCTCGTTCCACTCATCTAAGTCTTCCACCGCATTTTGCGTGTATAGAACCTAAAAGATAACAACATAAAGGTCTTATTTATATCGCAAATGATACAAAACTACTCCTAATATTGATAACAAAATTCGCATTCCGCTTTTCTAAAAAGGTTGTAACGATATACTGTAACTTATTAACAAATAAATAAAATATCGAAGGATATCCTAAGTGCCGCAAAGACATTACGAATTTTAGTAACTTTAAATTTGTAGCAACTGCAGAGCTTTTGTAAGTCTTAAAACAGTATTAAATTTTCTAATTGTTTGGTAGAATTTTGTAGGGTTATTGTTGTAAGTTGAAGCTTATGCCCTGAAGAGCTTACTAGACGAATGGCAAGTTATCACTATGTCATAAACAACTCAATACTGAAGAAAGTTTTAGAATAACCTTTTGGTCAGCCTTAACTAAAACAGAACACAGCCACAACTTGTGATATAGACGAAGCTTCCACTATTTGTGGATATTTAAATTGACATTACAAAGTTAAATTACAAGGTAGAAACGTCGTAGTTCAAGATTCCAGACATAAAATAGACTAACATTAAGCTGGCTCAGATATTTTAGAGGCGGGTATTTTAAAATATTAACTAGAAACACGTTAAAGACGGAATATAACTTTTGAGCAGAGCTGATAGCAAGCAATTTTAACAGCAAAACGCGGTTGCCAGAAGCTATAATCTAAAGATTCAGAACCTTCAGCTTAAATACACACAAAGATAACTTGCATTTGGATGAGGAATACCGAAAGAAGAAGTGATAGTAAGGACTTGAATCAAATTAACCGGTTAATTAACATGAAATATCTTCCAAGTTAACAAAATTGAACGCACACATTATAGAAATACTGCGAAAATTTTCAGAAATATATTTACAATAAACAAACTAGTGTGTAAATATACAAAATATCTTAATTTTATAGAGTTTTTATCAGTAATATGCTTCAGATGTCTGACGGCTTTCCACACTTTCACAGACATGATTTCTAAAACTGGAATTGCAATTCCGTCAGCAAAGATGAAAAATAAATAAATAATTAGAGTTTTTCCTCTACTCGCTTTGAAATTGTTCTTTTTAATCAAATATTCGGTAAAGTTTTACAAAATATGAAATAGATAATAAAACAAATTCCAAATTTGGGTTTCAAGGTGCCCATGTTCGGGTGGAAAACTGTTCAAAATTTGATGATTTCAGGTACCGTTGTTTTTTCACAGTGCGAGAAACATTCATACATTCATGTAGATTCTTCATTATGTAGTTTCTTTAAATATAATACAGGACGATAATATTTGGTGGTAACAATCTGAAAAATGATACAGTTGTTTACAGCGATTCGACGCAAAATGCCTCTTCCAGACTAACAGCCCTTCTGGGTTAACGCCCATCTTGGCTAATAAAACGATAGTTAATAAGTTATTAAAATGAAATAAAATATCGAGTTACATATAAAAATTAAATACATAAATTGTAACAGAACTATTTGCATGTCCCCGAACTATTTTATCGAACGCCATCTAGTGGCGACGAGAACAACTTACAGCAGTCTACCTCTAGCTGCGATGAGGATAGGTTGTTCAATATTAGGTCTCTGTGACTCGAAAGTTAATTCTAAATGTTTATTGTTCCGCTTTGGTGTATGTTCTGATTTGACGTATATTTTCTATGTAACCGTTTCTGTGCTCCGTTAATAAATACATTTAGAGCTTGCCGACGTTTGTTTTCAGAGAAGAACGGTTACAAAATAATAAAAAATGTGAAAGTATTCTAAAAATTACATACAGCAATAATGTAATAAATGCAAAATAAAGTAATGATAACAGATTCAGAATATTGAGTCACCCCATAAATAATGCATTTTTTGTACTTCTTTGCTTTTCAAAATTAAGATAAACAAAGTTCGTTTTTAATCTAAAATATTCTTTCCTTCATACTGTACTAATTTTTAATATAATTACGGTAAGAGTTTCTTCCATCAGAGTTTGCGAGACTTCCTTATTGAGCTCTACAAATTTTCTAGGAAGAGGCTGATCTTCTAGGGTCTATGCTATAGTTTCAGGCTGAGAATTTTTGCAGCCACTGTTGATGCTGGTTTATACTTATTGCCCGATCCTCAGATACTGTGTTAATATTCCTGTTACTAATTATTTAACTGTAATGTAAAGCAAAATATGGGGAATATGCTCTTTTGTGACTTCCATTTAACTTTTACAATATAACTGTTAAAATCGAACTGAACTGATCAGAACTTGCACTCAGAACACGTTTTCGACTTTTAATTCAGTTGAAAATACTACATTATTGATGGAATGACCCAAAAGTAAGAAAGAATTATATAGATAATATAAAAGAAATGCAAATACACTAGCTATTATTAATTAAGGAAAAATCACAAAAATGACGATTACTCAAAAAGTTGCATGTAGAATTTAATAAAACTGACCCACATTATACAACACATAATAAGGTATAAAATAAAATGAAAATAAATTACCAGAAAATTATGATGTTAAAGAAACTAGCAAATGTATAAAGTGAACAAATCGGATGCATCATTTTGATATAGGTAGGTAGGTGATTGGTGACGGGAGGCACGGGCACTGTCACTTTACCATTAGATCATTTTGATATAGGAAAATTACCCTCAATATGGAGTAGGATCTCTCCTAGAAGCAATACAACACATACAGCAATGTGAGATGCTCTCAATTATACAGGCTATCAGTTTCGTAGAAAGTGAGAGCCATTGCTATAGCAAAGCAGTTGCAAGCATAGCAAGGTTTTGAAGAGGAGGAAAGAACAGCTATACATCTTCCTAAAGCATTCCAATTATGCTCGGGATTCAGGTCGGGTGATCGAGCTGGCCACTCCATGCGCTGAATGGTTTGCTGCTGAAGATAATCATCCACGAGGCGAGGCCTGTGCGATCTAGCGTTGACGTCCTGTAGCAAGAAATTATCACTTATTGCTCCGGCATAAAGGCGCACATAAGCATCAAGGATGCCATCTCTATAGCTTCAGCATTCATGGTTCCACCCGGAAAGACATGGAGGTCTGTGCGTCCACCCAAAGAGATACCACCCCAAACACAGACGCTGCCTCCTTTCCGCATGCATCTCTTTTACGGATGTTTAGATGGATGATAACGGGTTCCAGGTTCTCTCCAAGCGAGTCCAATGACCGGCTTCTTGAAGCCTTCTACGCACGTTTGACATTGACACCAACCTTCCAGTGGCTGCAGCAAGGTAGGATTTGAGTTGAGGATCTATTCCTTCGTGCGCATAACAACAAAGATCGGTCATTAGCGCTAGTCGTAGCAGCTGTCATGGGCTGAACCTCGTGGATGCCGAATCTGTGGTTAGAAATTATTGCCAAAGTCTATGAACCACAGAAGGACTCATATTTAGCCATGTGGCCAGTTCTGTCTGACTTTGTCGTGCCTCTAGTTTCACAATAGTTCTCCATTGAAGTTCTTGGGGCAAATTCTTATTTCAGTATCACAGCAAAATTTGCTGCTTTGAAACATGAAATTTTATTCTCCTAGCAGATGACTTATTTTGATTACAGCGCAACTAATTTGCATACTCAGCAGTTCTTATTTAACAACATATTCAAATTTTATACGGATTGGCTTATTTTTGAACGAGTTATCGCCATTTTTGTGATTCCAATAACATTCATTTCAATCAGACGGAAATGCTCCTTGGTTTTGGCACATATTTCATTTAATATTTTCTTGGTAGAATGGGTACAGCCCAAGAATAATTTTTTTCTGAAAATAATGAGGGTGTTTTCTGCAACAAATTTTCCCGCGTATTTTGCCATTTTCAGAGAAAATTAGGCATATATATTAGGAAGCTTATATCAGTAATAAATTTAACAGCTTCTAAAAAAAAACATTACATTACTAACATACCATTCTAGTATTATCACCATAGTCTGTAGGCAGTAAAATACTAGAAATCATTTTAATCGAGAGCACTTCGGACAGAATTGCGATTTCGTTTAAAAACTGAGAAATATCGAAGCGGGTATTCAACTTAATTTTTAAGCCTTGTTTCAGAGAAGTGAACCAATAAAATTAGATTACTAGTTGTAGCTTGAAAAAGAAGCTGCTACGTGCAGTTAGTAACCTAGAAAAGCCATTGGATAATCTGAAAAAGACAACTTCTTGTTACAATTTTGAAAAATTTTACATGAAGGAACTGTAGAAATACAGGTACAGGCAGAAGCGGGCGAACATAGATGTATAGTCCCGTCGCACTACTTGTGCAGTTCGCCACAAATTTGACGGAGGGTGTAAATATGTCTATGTATCCTTTTCTCTTTCCCTATCACTACTCTCTCTTGAGTAGTGTGTATGTATCCCTCCGTATGGAGTGTAAATGTATCCCTCCATCTTTCCCTATCACTACTCTCTCTTGAGAGGACTTTCGGGTCGCAGTGAATTTTGAGTACTACCTTACCGCACACACACTACACACTTACAAACCTTCGCGTCTTATCTCGGACTCAAACCCGGGCTCATCGGTATAAAATCGGCCATCGGATTAATAACTATACCATCTGGATGGCATTATAGAAAATCAGGGTAAAATAAATAAATATATTATGATCTACAAATAAAACCACTCCTATTTATGCAGTTTTTATTCAGCAGTAAGCTTCAGATGCGTCTTTTCGATGAACGATAACGCTGGATCAGTTATTCGGTGACTCCATTTGGTCTGGCCCAACTAGACTATTTTTTTGTGGAATCGTGCCAAAATAACTGTTTACGCACAAAAATGACATTCTTTAAATGAAACTGAAACTTGAGTCTCAGAAATAATCAACTAAAATACAGAGAAACAACACAGGAGTATTTTTAAAGAGTTGATAAACGTATGGGTCATTGATAAGAAGGATGGTGGTGGAATGTAAGCTCTAGAAAACAATTTATAAATAAAATTTTAAATGGAAATTAAGGTATATTTCTATAGTAGATTACAGTAAATCATAATTTTTGGATATCCAGAGTTATTGGTGTCTGAAGCTACTCAGTGACTTTGTGAACAACTCTCAGTTTGCAGTGCTGACATGATTTCTTGAGCACTATTCACTATCAAAGGAATATTTGTATCCAAATGAAGAACTAGGAAAGATATCAGTAAAACTAGTCAGTTGAATAGACGTCCGATGTCCAAAAATATCTCCATTTCGACATCAGGAGAGAAATAAGAAAAAACAACACTGTCAAAGAAGGAATCTAATTACAAACAAATGGCATTATTCTTTCAGTAGTTTTTTTAATCGCACACCAACAAAATGAATATTTATTTAAAAATCTAATGTGTACACCACATGACTTCCTTGTACGGAATATTAAATTATACGCATTTTTTCTTGCATTTTATTTAAACTTATTAGATTGAATTAAACCTACTTCGCCGACAGCGCATAAACCACAATAGAATAAATGCATTCTTTAAAATTCACTTTGTTTACCATAGCGACACTCTGGCACTAGGCTTACTTAACAGTATTATACTTCATTCATATTATAACTCAGAATGCACAAAATGTATACCATTTAAAGAATTATCTAATCGTTGCCACATGTTCTATTCAAATACTATAATAAAGCTAGAATTATGTATAAAAGAAATTAAGCAAACAAAACAAAAAAGAAACAGTTTTTCACAGACGATTGAGTATTTCTCTTTGAATTAATTCAGTTCTCACTTCGCAAGTAGGCAACAATACATAATCAAAATATCTATATTAAAAATTACGAAGTAAATCTTAAACACTTATTTCCTCGAAAAAATTTCCAGAAAAGATTAAGCATGATTTAATTGGCAATAATAAATGAATGCGTTATCTTTGTTGTTGCGAAGGTAAGTTTCTCTAGATTGGCAACAAATCCACTAGTCTCCTGTTTCAAATGTAAACATCAATGGCCGCCATTAAAAAAAAATAGGCTTAGCGGCAATTAAACAACTTTAAAATTGATGATAATTCTAAAAATATTGCACACAGATTTAATAAAGGCATAAAATCCTTAACCGGAAGATAAAAACAACATAATTCAATCATTTTTAAAGCAAAAAATGTGCAATTTACAAACATATAAGAGTAAAGAAACTGAGATCACTGAGCCGGGTAATAGAGTGGATATATATATATAAATATATTTATATACGTTTGGTGCGGTCGATTGCAACCAAAATACGAGGTGCACATCTACATGTTATAGCAGTCCTATATACAAAATTTCAACGTTCTGAGGCTACTCGTTTTTGGAGTTATGGGAGATACGTACGTACGCACGTACGTACATACGCACGAAAAATTCTCTTCAGAATTCATTTTAAAGCAGTTTTATAATTTTTTTGAAGGAAAAGAGTGTTTTATTCTGTCTTTACGTACAGATATCACGCAAAAACATCGTTAAATTGCATTCGATAGCGGTCAAAATGATATTTTCGTTGAAATATGCTGCCTGAAACTTTCGCGATTACATACTTCCTTTTTACTTCGTACAAGGAAGTAAAAATTACGAAGTAAATCTCAAAACGCTTTTTCCTCGAAAAAATTCAAAGAATAAGCATGATTTAATGGCAATAATAAATGAATACGTTATCTTTGTTGTTGCGAAGCTAAGTTCTCTAGATTGGCAACAAATCCACTAGTCTCCTGTTTCAAATGTAAACATCAAGGCCGCCATTAAAAAGCTTAGCGGCAATTAAACAACTTAAAATTGCTGATAATTCTAAAATATTGCACACAGATTTACTAAAGGCATAAAATCCTTAACCGGAAGATAAAAACAATATATTCAATTATTTTTAAAGAAAAAAATGTACAATTACAAACATATAAGAGTAAGAAACTGAGATTATGAGCCGGGTAATAGAGTGGATATATATAAATATATTTATATACGTTTGGTGCGGCGATTGAACCAAAATACGAGCACATCTACATGTTATAGCAAGTCCTATATACAAAAATTTCAACGTTATGAGGCTACTCGTTTTTGAGTTATGCGAGATACGTACGTACATACGTTCGTACAGACGCCACGAAAATCTCTTTCAGAATTAATTTAAAGTAGTTTTATAATTTTTTGAAGGAAAAGAGTATATTTATTCTGTCCTTACGTACAGATATCACGCAAAAACATCGTTAAATTGCATTCGATAGCGGTTAAAATGGATATTTTCGTTGAAATATGCTGCCTGAAACTTTTCGCGATTACAATACTTCCTTTTTACTTCGTACAAGGAAGTAAAAAGAAAAAACAGAACTTTGAATGAAAATCAAATATTAAATCTCAAATGAAAGCTTCAGATTTTAAGTTTCTATTTCTTTTAGTCTACTGTTGTGCACATCGCTGATTTCAGAATATATATACGATATGTAATAGCAAAATCAGTATTCAAAACGGTTAGGCTCTTCCTGACGCTTAGTCACTTATTTATTAATATCAATCAGTATTTTCACTCGGTTATAATTCTTCGTGCTATGCTTAGGCAATTCTTATCATTCGATCTTTCAATTAAAAAAATTAAGGATTACTAGCAAAGGAATATGAATCCCGGTTTTTAGCTGAAAGCTTCTGCTAACTCCTTTCTGAAAAAATGTGATGTGCATGCCACATGACTTCTTTGTACGGGGAATTAAATTATAAGCATTTTTTACTGCACTTTATTTAAAATTTGTTTCCTCGAATTATTGTAACTTGAATAACAGATCCCTCAAGGCAAGTTGAAAATGACATCAAAATTTGAAACTTTTGAAATTAAATATCCCGGTCAATTTTTGTCATACGGAAGTGAAACTTCTTATAATTTTATTTTTTTACAACGAGTATAAAACTTTCCCAAATATACGGATAGGAGTAATTAAAAGTTAGATAGAAAATAAGTCAATATCAGTGGTTCGATCATGGAAAAAGACTTTCCCTAACACAGAAATCGGAAATTTATCTAACTAATGAAGAAGTCGAGGTAATAACTGAAGTTGTATGATACAAAAATCTGATGTGGACACCATATGTCATCCTATTAAATTATACACATTTTTTGTTGCATTTAATTTAAACTTATTTCGTCGGATTTAATTAGAGATATATTTCTCATCCAATCAATTCTGTGCGAGTCAAAAATGCGTAAAAAATCAAAACATCATCATTAACATTGTAAAATACAGAAAAACATAAAACACAAAATACAATTTTTACAATTAATATTAAAGTTTCTACGCGAAGAGAAACAATTCGGTCAGCTGGAAGGAAGGCAGATTTTCCGATGCGCAAAACTTGAAGTTTACGTTTGATCCCGTTCGGCAAAAAGACACTGAAGTTGGTGCAGAAACTGACTTTATTCACTATTCTACTAAAACTTTCAAACGTAAACACATGGCGTATTCGTTAGTCTTAATACCACTTTAAAAACTTTTAAATTGTTGATAATTCTACAACTAAGAGTACTGTATGCAGAATAACCAAAGGCATAAAAACTTTAACCGGAACATAACAATAACATAATTCAATCACTAATAAAGCAAAAAATGCGCAATTTACCAGCATATAATGAGCTTACCGAAACGGGTAACAGAGTGAGTGTATATCCATATCTGTGTGTGTAGTTTTGGTGCGGCCGATTGCAACCAAAAAGGAAAGAGCACAAGTACATGTTTAGAAGTCACATATACAAAATTTCAATGTTCTGAGGCTACTCGTTTTTGAGTTATGCGAGATACATACCTACGCGCAGATGTCAAGGGAAAAATCTCTTCTGAATCCATTTTAAAATTCGTTTTGGAATAAAGAGCCCTTTATTCCGTCCGTATGTACAGATGTCACGCAAAAGCATCGCTCAAATGTATTCGAAAGCAATCAAAATGGATATCTTCGTTGAAATATGATACCCGAAAGTTTTTGCGATTACAATACTTCCTTTACTTCATACAAGAAAGTAAAAATTGGAAACGTAAAATTCTTCGAAAATGTCTATGGGGAAAACATCAAGGGGATTCGACTCAGCCGAGCTTTTAATGCCTGAGAGATACAGCTATCATTTCAAATGTCACAAGAACAGAAAAGGCAGAGAGTGATACTGATAAAAGAAGCGAAGAAGCTACTTACAATTACACTAGTCTCGAGACATCAATGACTTTGCTGAAACTCGATTGGACTTCGTCGAACAAAGGCGATTCAAATACAATGATAAAATAGCATTTAGAAAAAGACGCAGTGAAATTAGACGAAACATTCTCAAAACTAAAGTAAAATTACTTATTTCTTTTAGGAAGTAAACGTATACGCAATAAAATTAATAGTTTGGATTATCCGTGTTTTTAAATTATCCGTGACCTGTTTCTCAGGCGTTAGTTCGGATAACCGAAAGTACACTCTAGATTCTAAGTTTTTGATTTAAGTAATAAAGATACACATTCAAACAGGCTTTTTTCTCCGAGAGCACGAAATTTCAAAAATCAATCGTGCGCTGTCGGGTAATCGAGCCCGTGACCTTCTAATTGTTTAACTGTTATATGAATGCACTAACCCCCGTATTAAAAGGATACATGGCAGCAATAACTTTAATTCCTTACACAGATTCTGCTAAATTCATTTCTTGTGTTTGCTGCAATCATCCGTATTGTTTCAGAATTTCCGCAAAATAAATTGCATTTTTTGTTCAAGTACAGTACAAATCATAGAAATGTAGTATCAAGCGACATACGAAGTTCCTTACCTTGTATCCCAGTATATCTAGGAAGTAAGGCACCTGATCCCACCAGACTTCAACGGTTGATTCAGAAGTAGCCATGGCTTGTACGTTCGTGGGAGCTGTTGGAACATCACCAGGCGTATGTACCGTTATGGGACTGCTCCAAGGACCGGGTCCACGGCTTGTATAGGCACGTATGCGGTACGTATACTCTGTATTCTCGTCCAATGAACTATAAAAATATAATCGGGGTTAGTATTTAATTTCGAGGAAAGAAAATAGTAATTACCTGCATAATAATAAAAACCTTCCTTCAAATCTGAAAGGTTTACTTGAACAACAAACGGAAAAAGTCCTGAAACAAAAAATCTAAATAGATAATTGAGTTTTTTGAATCCATTTAACGGATTCCTAATACGGAGCAGCTACTCAGAATAGATCCGGAAAACGATTCCTTTGAGTAAATGCTCTCGTTTTCATCCACAGCCCGTAGATAAGAAGCATGACAGTGAGTTCCAAGTTCATGCAGCGATTCACTTCGCTCGAATAACCGCACAAGGAATGAAAACTTACGCCAGCAGAGCGGTTTTATTTACCTCTCAACAGCGCCTTTTACCACCTCCACACGCCATTTCAGCATACATATTCCATTAAAATCTGCTTATTTCGGTTCCCTCTACATTTCTGGAGATATTTTTGAGTTATATAGCAAAAATTATACAGCATTGAATTATATAGCAAAACGTTTCCTATATAATTCAATTTTATCATTTAAAGCTCTCTAATACATCATAGTTCCATTTACAAAGCGTGAATTCAAAGTAAAATAACCATTTAAAATTATTCCTGCCTATCAATAAATAAAGCAAGTTTAGTACTCGATCTTTGCCGGCAATAAGTTTTATTCAAAAAATGTAACAGAAAACAACTTTAAATAAGAAATATCATGTTACTAACATTATCATTATGTTTAGTATATGATATTTTAAAGCTGACTCTTAAGAATAAAGGATTCTGAGAACTCGTATGAATATCAGATGCAACAATTACAAGATATAATAAATATGAGATAATTATATTACATATATTTTAGGACTAGAGTATTGTATAAAATACAGTAATAATATATTATATATTTATGCTACATAGTTGTGTTGTATTTATGTTATTACTGCAATATTTATGATTGTGTATAACAGAATCATTTACGCAGATCACCCGGGTCGTTCTTCATGCTCTCTCTGTGGTGTAAGTGGTAGCGCGTTCAGTTGGCAATGGAAGATAAGTAATTCGAATCCCAGTTCAAGGATAGTTTATTTATCACATTTTCTGGCTCTAAAAATTCTAAACACACTCTACAGTAGCATCTGATTCTCAGTTAGGTTTGGTTTATTGAGTCGGATTCTTCTACTCAGTTGCTCTGTACATGAAGAATACAAGGAATTACCGCATTCCTTCATGCGTACTCTCGTGGTGTAAATGGTAGCCAAAGTTCGAACCAGCTAGCACTGGTTCGAACTTCGGCGAGGGTATACAGTACAAAGTCCGAAGAGCGGAAATCGAGTATCCGGAATGATCTAAGATTCGGACCTCCAGAAAACTAGATAAAAATAAATAAATAGAAATCCCCTCCGACAAAATCTAGGAATGACGAATATAATACTTATCAAAAGGGAGCAGTTGGGTAACGTAAATGTAATTTTTCTCCGGACAACCGCAATTCCTATATGTCACTTTCAAACACCTATTGGCTAGAGAGTCGCACAGCTAACAACAGTGCATTGATTGACAATGTATGGATGCTGGCCAGGATCACACTTTAGGCCCTTGATTGGCTGTGGGGAAGGCTGGCGCTACGCATTTTGCTACCCGCAGCGATCTCTTCGGGTTCTAAATTTTGGTGTCCCGTATGCATATTTCACAAGTGCACATCTGTGTAGCCACCGAGGGAGTGGCTTCTAAGATGGCCCAATGAGCATCCAGTAATATTTCTGTCGTGTCACATGACCTCTCGCACGCTTTAAGATTTAAGCAAGATGGTTGAAAATACTTTGCCACGCAATTTTCTGTACATCGTCTATTTTTTCTGAAAATTTTCATTGCGAAGTTAGATCAAATATAAGCAATTATGAAGATTTCACTACCTGGTTGAAAGAATTTGAAATAAATACAAACACATGTTGGATACTCCGCAAAAACATTCATGCGAAATAGTACTTAATAAGTGATAAATAAGACGAAAGAAATATGTGATACACATCCGAGCCCAAATGCTATCTTTACATAAAACTATGCATATGAGAAAAATATTTACACCAGTTATGTATGTAAATAGAAGTCAGCCCTTTTTATTTCAGTCTATATGAAAAAGGTGTGTTCTTAATAATAGCCAATGCATAACTTTATTCAAAGTGAACTTTCACTCATTTGCATTCGTAATTCACTAATTTGCATTTAGTCTGGTAAATTTCACATTTGATAACTACTCACTCTTAAATATACTGTCTACACAAAAAATACTCATCAAACAGAATGAATTTATCTATTCACAACGAATATATTCAATTTATATCCCATATACAATTTTAATGTTAACAATGGATATAATCATATCATACACAATGGATATGAATCAGATCATACACTTTCAATATGTATTCAAAAACAAAAGAATGCAAGCACTGAAATAAGAAAACACTAGATTCATTCTGTAACAACTTCAGTCCTTCTCATCTCAAAAAAGACTATAAAAAACTATACTTGAAATGAATTCTCTTAATCCACAGGTGTTAGTATTAATGCATAATATTCGAGGCTAATTGTAGTTTCAGTCATTTTCTCGGTGTAACGAGCGGTAATATGCCATGAACATCAATCCAAATATCAATGCGTAATAAAAATATCAATGCGTAATAAAAATCGCGAAAGTGAAATGTCAGCGATTAATTAAACTCATAAAACGAAAGTACTACGAGATTTTCTACTATTACGCCAAACATTTATAACTGCGAAACAAATGCATATTATAATGTAAACAACATACGCTCACATACATGAAGATTTATTTAGCCTCACAAGAGCAGAAGAAGCTCATTGGTCTATTTTCGAAACCCCTCCCTCAGTGGCTACGCTGATGTGCACTTGTGAAATATGCGTCCCGAGTATGGCCTAAATTCAAAAAAATTTGCCAGCCCTAAATTCTATTGCCCAGTGACTCTCCTCATTTAAAAAAATTTTTCCACTAGCTCAAGAACCAGCTGTGTTAGCAGGTAGCATTCTTCTGTTTGACATAAACAATAAGCCCCAATGTTGCCTATCTACATGTCATCTTGCTACATTCAAACTCATGATCTAAAATCGGAAAAATCCTTACGATTCCGGATCTCGGAGTTTGTACAGTTAACTTTTCGTGTTTCCTGTTCTGTTTCGTAAAAAACCTTATGTTTCTACAAAGATTTTAGTTTGCAGTCGTTTTACTATAGGCAAACAAAACACGATTTATAGATTATTAGATTTCAAGGACTTAATTTATGAAACAGTAATTGATGCAAGTTTTAAGCCGAATGGACTTATTTGACTATTTTAAAATGACTTTAGGTTCTTAAATAATTATATTTTATATAAGTTGTGGGTGTCCACTGACTGTTCTTGCTTTATCTATCAAATATTAATGCAATAAAAATTGAACTTTTGAAGTGTTTAGACAAGTGTTTACAAGACATTTAAAAAGCTAAATTTTTTATTTAAAGTTGAATTTTTAATTTCAGTTTAACTTAAAAAGTTAAAGTTCAATTCTTTACGTATTATATGCCTAAACAAGTGGTAATACGAAGGAATTAATTTATGGTAGTAATCTTCAAACTTTGTTGGCTCAAGGAACCCGTAAAAATTATGTTTTGTGAACTTTTTCATCGTCATGAAAAGTAAATACTAAAAAAAGCAATGAAAATATATCAATATTACATATATTTTATTAGAAAAAAGAAAATTACTGATGGACTTCATATTAGTTTAAGTAACAATAACAATGGAAATAAAAATATATTTCATTAATTATTTTAGACGTTTAATTTTACGATCGACACGGCATTTGAAAATTCTTTCGAATCTTGATTATAATTTGTCGAGCCCCTACAGGAGTTGTACAGAAACCCCAGATTCCGTAGAACACAATTTGAAAACTACTGCCCTATGGTACAGGTATCTTTATTCACTACCTTATTCTCTGTTGGTATGAATTTTTAATTTTTAAACTATACCATTGTTCAAAAACTCAGGCATTTTGCCCAACCGTTTTTTTTTCTCATTCTTTTGTAAACCACCGGACAGGACGTCAAAACTGTTAAAAGTATAACGCAGATATGATAGAAGCCAGTAAAGAAAATGTCTATTTATTTCGAACAACAGCTCGATATTTGTGGAAAGACGTAAGCACTCTATCAATCCCATGGAGTGGTTTCTGAATTCAAAGGGGGAGGAAAACTCAAAATAAAAGGATGTGCCAATAAGGCTAAGTGTTTGGTTCTCTCCAGGGAGAAGAAAAAGGGAACAATCCTTAAGAAAGAAAATGGATACGGAAAATGCTTTTCTGGTTATGAGGCAAAGAATTTTTTGTGCAGAAAGTGAAAAATATCTGTATCGAAAAATGGATGTCATGTAAAAAATTGCTAAGTATACAATAACTTGTTATACTTTGTAATTGCTAAAATGTATCTACATTTTCATTTCTCATAACTGTAATCCATTTTTATGAAAAATTGTTTTTGTGTAGTTATTTTTACAGTCAAATTTCTCGCTTTCTGAAGTTACATCTCCAGATATCAACAACAAAAGAAGTGACGGTTACATTACTAAGCGTTTCTTTCTCCAAGGGATTTTAAAATAAAAAACTGCGTTTGTTTTTGCTTCAAACATACTTTTCTAATGTACCAGGAAAACTTCCCCGTCATGATCAAAAAGGAAAATTCAACAAAAAATTCTTGTAAGAAAATCTCCCTTAAAAGATTTGAACAATTCTTCAAAGCTATTTCTCAAATAAATAGGCTATTAAGTTATGTTTGATTGTATAATAACAAATACTGATTCTTGACTACATTTTTATTTGTGTTCTAAAACTGTTTTCCGATGAGGTTTTATCTAACTTGAACCGCATTAGGTTACATTCAACTAATCTCAATTTTCAGTAGCTTTGAGTTATTTCTACTACTTTTCTACAATTATGAAAATGTAATAAATTGTCTAATGTTGTACGAGCGTTTTCAATAGAACTTTCTTTAAACGTTATATGAGAGTACCACTAACAGCAGTATTTGCACTTGCTTTTATGCATTATAGAACTGTAACATATAGATGTTCTTCAAAACATTCTGCTAGAACTTTATATGAAGGCCCTTGCAGAATGCTGGAAGGTTAGATCTTACAAATATTTTCATTTTATGGACATATTATTCTTGAAAAGAATACAATAAGTAGGCACCTAATCTAAAATTTCTGAAACAATCTGCAAAGGCAACAAAAGATAAAGGATTCAAAATAAGGAATGCTTACCACCTATGAATACTTTTGAGTAAACATTGCACTTACCTTATTAAGTTTATATTAAATTTTAATAATAGTTATTTAAATATGTTAGCCTTATCTGTCACTCTTTGTTTCTTTCGCGTTTCCTCGCCAGGATGTAAATGAGATAGGGTGAACGAGAGTGTATTTAAACTGAAGCAGCGGAAAGGTTAGTCACAGCGTGTTTTCGACATTGAGTGCATGCGTTGTTATTTTTTACCATTCGTTGGAATTTTAAAATTCGGCGTCGTATTCTCGCCGCCGAAGTTAATGTCACGCCGATGTAGGTTTTTTCTGAATCAACCTGCTAGGTTAAATTAATTTGTGTAGTCCTGAACTACTAGCTTACCTTTAAATTTAGTTTCTTACCATTATCTTTCAGCTCCTCATCGTAAGATTATTGTGGATTCTGTACGCACAGAATCTGTGACGTCTCTAAATAACTGAGTTCAATAAAAGGGTCTTTTACACCCTTCCCCTGTTGTATTCATATTCTAGTCTTAGCCACAAGTCGCCACACAGATTTTCAAGTAGGTCTAGTAGCAGTATATGTTAGCACAGAAGACTAGATCTTACATCCTAAGCCAAAAACGCTAGTTCGATTCCAGTGAATCTTTCCAGGTACACGCAGTGTAGGAGCTAAAAGTACTGTTTTTAGAATACTGAAACTCAGATTAGTTATTCCGTCATATATCAGAAATATCAGGGCATTCAAATATGACCCGAACGAATGAAAGGATTGAAAAAGTGAAATGGTTACTTACAAGAAAGCTCCCGGTTAATAGTAGATGAATTAACCAGGTCTTGCACAGGGTGCGGCAGGGGAACTTCCTTATTTGAAACGTGCGCCATCTAGCGACATTTATTCCGAGAAGGGTGGGGTGGTGCTCATTGAAAAGAGCGATCTCTAACGTTTTATATAATGTAGGTTTAGTACCGATCATGCAGTGGACTAGAGAGGAGCGCGCGTTCGCCGTGGAGTCGTAGTTTCCAACGTATTGTATTTTCATTCATATAAATTGGCAGTGGTGCAAAAACTTAATCCACGCGATTTTCTTTCATGAAATAATGCATGAGAATACGTTCTTGACAATATGCCTCATGATGCCCTTGTGTTCTTTAGCGATGAGGCTCATTTTCATCTTTCCAGGTTGCGTGAATAAACAAAACGTGCGATACTGGAGTGGCACGAATCCCCAACAACTTCATGAGCAGCCCATACAGAACGTGTGACTGTTTGGTGTACATTGTCCAGAATAGGCATCATTGGATCACGGATTTTTTAGAACATTTCCTTGGATGCCTTATCTCCTTACGAGGCGATCTTCAGTTCGCCTGATTTATCGCCGTGTAATTTCGTTTTGTGGGCTATCTGAAATCTCTAACATTCAAAAGACCCTGGTTCAACTGAAGAACAATATTCAAGCTGCTATCGACAACATACCGGTTGATATGCTGTTAAAAGTGAAAAGAAACTTCAAATCTCGATCTCAATGAATTGACCAGACCGAAGGCCGCCTTAATAATATTATTTTTAAAACATAATAACAAAAACTTTAAGTGTCTCTCTATAACTTGAAAAAAATTAAACTGATATCATTTAAAAACTATTTGTGTTATTCAATTTAAAAATAAGGCAGTTTCCCTGCCGCACCCTTTATTAAGTAGACTCACCCAATGAAATATATATATTATCTATGCGCAAATTTAATATAATTTATACAATTATATTTTATGGTACTATAACTCACCGCACATTTTCATACCAATTCCAGTATTAATATTTTTTTCAACTCAAACGTTCTCGTACTCGATTTAGGGCTACTACAGTGCCTTCTACCGGAGATTCTCAGTACCGTGTTTTAGAAAAAAGGTTATTTACTGTGGAACGATGGAAAGATTACTATCACAAACACTAGCATAAAACAAAACTGTCTACGGGACGACAATACATAATTATTACCAAGGTCCAAGTATCAAGGACATTACCTAGGTCATTTCTCGTGCCGCAAGAAATAACCGAGCGTAACTCAACAGGATGGATCGTATTTGAATGTTCTTGTTATAATATCGTTCAATTTGCAGCGAAACCTGTCTGTTTTTTAATATGCTAATTGAATTAAAAATGTCATTATATGAGATTGCGGGGGAAAAAAACCCTACGCTGCTGGAAAGCTCTAATAATCGACGTATTAATGTTAATGCTTTCACCATTATAAGCGTTGCATTATACACACCAAAATTAACTTACCTGAACACTCGTCTCGTACTAGTAGTGTTTTGTTCAGGCAACTTCATTTCGGATGCCTTATGAAACTGTACACCATAGTACTTGATGTTCCCATTTCGGTACTGAGGAATAGGCGGGTCCCAGCTGATGACGATAGTGGTTGGACTTTGCAGGTTGTGACTCAGATTTTGAGGCGGTGCAGTCGGCACTAGAAATAAAGAACAGCAATAGATTAACATAAACTTTTAACATATTATTAAATTCGTAACATCCATGAAAATTTTGCTTAAAATCTATAAAAACTTTAAAAAAATTGAGTGCACAGTAATGCAACAAAACTTAGTTTTTGTCACGTGTTTTCGTGCAAACGAGCGAAAAAGAAGCACAGCACGATAGCTGCCAGAAACTGTTCATACAGCAGTAAAATTATTACAAACAGTGTAACTAGAAATTTGTTGTTAGGCAACAAAACCTTCTTATGTCTTCAAATGCTGTGAAAGGGATCTCTTTAAGATTTCCAAGCTTTCAACTTTATTACAAGACTGGTATAAGCCACAGGAATATCAACTAATTACAGCGAAATATGTTATTTCATTTCCGATTTTGAGAATCTATATTAGGCCTAAAATATGTCGCATTTGATAAAGAAGCATGTAGATTTTCAATGCTTCACTTTCATTGAGTTAAAAGTTTCGAGCAGTCTAAAAGTTTGCAGTAGGAAGCATGTGACCAAGCGACCGGTTCACCTCATGCAGTACATTTCTATTCATCAGTTCTATTCAGATATTCCAGTACGTCAGTGTTGAAATGCGCAGAAGTTTCAATGTTCTTGAAACCATGCCGGGGCGGATAACTTCCGAAACATCACGCAGTATGATTTGAAAACATTTCATCCAGGAAAATACCGTAAGTCTATCCATCTCATCATACGTAACATACATCATTCCGTTCATACGGAAAAATCTGATGGTCGGAATATTCAACTTAACATTGCGTCGCACTGAAGTTTCGCGCGAAACATTCAACAGTCCAAGTCAAACAAATGTCCTAATTGGCAACAAAATAATTTTTGTATACAAGATAGCAGAAAATATTGAATAGTCAGACACTAATCTTCAGCATAAAGTTAATACTAGGAAAGCCTCAAAAAACACATATAACGACCTAGGTAAATGAAACGTTTAGTTAAATCATTATTATTCAATCATATTATGTACATTTATCTAAGCATTATTTAATTATATTACTTTATTTACATTTATTTTTAATGCGCATAATTAAAGCAACTTCCGAATGATTTTAAAAACGCTTAAACAAAAGGTCTTAATAAATTTGTTTCAGTTCTTTTATTATGCATCAATTTAAATTTAAATCAGGTATGAAATTTAAATTTATCGTTTAATATTTACATTCTTGTCAAGTAGTCAACTCATTAGAAAGGACATGTTAAATAGTGCTATCATTGTCTCGTTCCAAACAGTAAAGAAAATTCATATGACTTATTAAAAATAGAAATTTAATTAAAAGAGAAAGAGAAGAGAGACATTCTCTTGAAATGTTCATTAGCCGACGATGTAAGGTTTACTCAAGAGAAATCAAGTTAAAAAACTAAAGAAGTACCTAAACAGCTTTACATTGTTTAATGAATTTTTAAACACTATTTCGTACGTTTTAGATGAACGTTGTTTTTGTTTGCTTTGGGCGGTATTTATGAACAATTTATAGGTACATATTTTTAACAAAATGAATAAATAAAATTTCTTTCAAAATTAAATTCTTGGATATAAAATATATATTTCACGGAAGAGAAAATTTTTTTCCTTAAATTTGTTACAAATAAAACAACAAATATGCAGTGCTTTACGAGAAAGGTATATATTGGTATTTTGACGATTTATTTAATTTTTATGCAAGGTTACAAGACAAACAAAACAAAAAAGAATGCAAAATTATAAAACTAACACAGCGAATATACAGGTAGATAACAATTTAATTATTTTGCCACTTGCTTAAACCCAAAGACAGAATTAGAATATAAAATCACAGCACAGGAATTATTATTCAGAAATAATTTAATATGCGATTTTGAAATTTTTGTGGCGACATGAGCCCTACAACTTTTTAAACTACAAATGGCTACAAAAGAACCAAAACATTGCATTCAAAAACGCATTCAATTCGATTCACATTACTCAAGAGGAAAAACATGAAAGCTCCTATGTAGTCCATGGAGGTAGGAATAGAAGGAGAAGCCCTTCTTCCAGATAGCACCACTTTACAATTTAAGGGGATGAGACACTTTTATTTATATCTATTTCACATTAGGTTGACAGCTTTGAAAATGTTTTACTAGATACAATTTTTCTTCGCTTTCTCTCTCTCTCTTTTTTAACTAATATTTAATAGCTAATACAGTTGCTCGGAAAATATCAGATTTTATTGTGCATATCTTGCGAAAATTCCTTCGATTTTTTCATTTTATAACTTGGCCATCTCTTAAACACTACTGAATAACTATGTTTGACCTATACGGCCATCAACCCGTAGATCAGTGATCACATCGACATTGACGGGCACCGGTGAGCAACAACCTTCACAGGTATCATTGTAAGTCATATAATTTTAATTTAAAATTCTACCTAAGTATAATGCACTGCCTCATACCAGTAACCTATACTAGTGACTATCAACCGGCAAATCAACTTTTACCTTGAAAGGTATTGACTGACTGAGCTGATCAGATTTAGGAGAGCTCTTTTGGGTGACAGTTAAAATCGAAACATTTCAGAATATTTATTTATTTGTAAAATATCTTAAAAATTGCAAAATCGTCTTTTATTCCTGCCAATATGGTAACTAAAATATGGACGAAAAAAAACTTTTCGTAAAGAAGTTTTTGAACATAATTTTACATTTTCACATACGTTAGGAATTGATCTAAGCTATACTTGATCATCAAAATGAGCAATTTTTGATAAACCAAAAGTTCATTTCCTATATTCTATAATTTACATCAAAGCTTAAGTTTCGGTATTTCTCAGTTTCTGAGCTAATTAGTGATTCTGGCCGGAGCGCACCGGAGCCCTAAATAAAAGGGCTCCTGCACTTCTTTTGTGTAAATCAAATACAATTTCAGCGGACAAATTTTATTTTAAAAACAAATATGCGATTAAAACTTCAGAACGCATGCCTGTCTTTCTCTGTCTTCTTTACACTGATATTCACACTTTGAATGAGGTGTTAAGATTAAGAAAAGAAAATTCAGCATCCATATGTCAAAGCTTATTCTCCAATGAATGTATAAGAGCAGGAAAAAGGTTTTATTCCCGAAAGTACTAACAATGGTTACCTTGGTCGTGCACGTCCAGCGCTAGTGACCCATCACTGCATAGCTCTTGCAGACTTCAAGTATGTAATCAAAAAAAAAAAAAGGGGGGGGACAAAAATTTTCACTTCTTCTTGAAAAAATGCTCTCTTTACAACCTTCCTGTCAGAGCTTAAACTGCGCCGAAGCCCGGTGCAATTTAAGCTCTGACAAAATTTTTAATTGTGCAGACCTTACTTTTGTTCTCATATTGTTATCGGATCGGATTCGGGGAAAAGTTTTTGCCCAGTTGCATTCTGCTTGACAGCTAGAATTATATCGGCAGGGCATCGCGATGAGTCTTCTCTCTTTGTTTTAGAAGCTACACTTCTCCATCAAAATTATTTCCATACGTTCATACTATTTCTATTCTCAGTATTGACGCTTTAATCGATTTACTTCTTTTCATTCGTTCGCTGAAAAAAGAATGCTTTTTGTTTCAATCATCCCTTAATCCTACCATCATAAGTAGTAGGTTATACAGGATATTCAGGACTTGAATTCAGCCGGAGGCCGGCTAAGCTATTGCTTAGTTAGTTTTCTGAACGAAATTTTAAATCCAGCCAGAGCTCCTAAGATAAGCCCCGGTATTTTACTTCTTTTATTTAACTATTTATCATGATTTATAATTTATTAAAATTTTATTTATATGTTTATATTTTATTAAATTTTAATTTTGATTTAATTATTTAATTATTAGCCAATTTTTATTACTTTATTAGTTATTTTATTTATTTATTTTCCCCTTCTTCTCTGACGGCCCTCCATAGTGTTCCGGCACTTCTGATTTTAGAAATTAAGCCCTGATTTACACTGACATTTAATTGCAGTCCTTCTGGGTTTAATTAAAAAATTATAAGTACTGGAGTCCTATGGAAGGCCTTAGGGAAAGTATAGAATAGTAAAATAATTAAATAAATTGTTAGGAAACAAATAAAAATAAATTAAATAATTGGCAAGTAGTTTAAATAAGAAATTAATATACCAGAGATCATCTTTGGTTTCTGGCTGGAATTAGGATTTCAAGCAAAAAATGACAAGTAGAGGACCTTAACTGAATTTAAGCTCTAGCCTCTTTAGCATGGATATCATTCATTGCCTTTCTAATTATGCACCTTATTTATTAACCTTTCGTTGATAAATTACCTGTTTGTTTTTAAATATATCAAAATGCAACTGCATAAGTTATTTTAATATAATAAAGATATTTTCTCGGCTTACCGATTAATAATTTATAACTACCTTATTCACTTTAAGCAATTGCGATTGACTTAAATTATAACTATAACAAAGCATATTTCACATTTTAGAAAATATATTTTAGACTGCCGTCGCTAGATGGCAGCAGCGACATGTGTCCGCTTTTCATGAGAAGTTAATTCACTACAGAACAGGGATTATCAACTAGAAGGGAATTCCCCCCGTGCGAGGAATTTCATAGTTTCAGGGAGAATGAGTTCAGCCTTTTACTTACTTGTTAAGCGTTTAATTTAGTTTATGAATATAAAAAACAACTTTTATTCAAGTCTTGGTATTTATCAACATTTTCAAAATTTTTCTTGTTTAATTTAAAAACACATTAAAAAGTAATCCAAAATAAACGCAGGTGAACTTTTCAACTTTTGGAAAGGAAAAGGGGGGGCAATGATCCTCTAGCGATGGTGAAAGGGATGCATGAGTGAAAAAAAGGTTGAAAATTATTGCTATAAAATTGAAGTTGAAAATTATTGCTTTTGTAAAATCGTTTGCAAATTATTTTTATTTTTAAAGAGAGAAAAGTAACTCTAAGTAATAGAAAAAAAGCAAAAACGGTTAGATTTGAAAATTTATTCGATAAATTAAATTACCAACTTTTTTTTTTTTTTTTTTTTTTACAGATTAATGTCTTAGCTCTTCATTTTCACAAACTGTTGATACTGAGAGACAAGAGAATACTAGAATCGGAAGTGGGGAAAGAAAAGAAAAGTTCGCAAATCCAAAGAATGCATTTTGCAAATAATTCGGAAATTGCTATTAATCCCTGTTTCAAGAGTTGAAGTGTTTTTTTCCTTCATCGAACTGAAATAATGGTTTAGCCGTATGAACATTAAAAAACATATAATAAAAAACTTAATATTATTTTTTCTAAAAATTATAAATGAATAACCATGGAAACATACAAATAATTAAAAGTAGAAATAAATTTTATTATGTGGAATTTTTATAGCTTTCTTTTATTTCAATAAAAAAAACAATGAAACCTATTTGATATGAATATGAAAAACACGTAAAAGAATACCTGTCATGTCTGATATAAGGAAAAATCGTTTACTGACTTTCATAGGTTATTAACGATTATGTCAATATTATAGACTATAGTATTATATTATGGTACCCTAGGCGATCAGTACGTTTTGCCTAGCGATCTAAATTAATCATAATCAGGGCCGGTGCTAGGCATTTTGTAACCAGGTACAATCTCCTGTAGATCCTAAATTCTGCTGCCCAGTGCCTTCCCTAAATTCTAAAATATTTTTCTATATTTAGATTTGTCGCTCAGTGCTACGCTAAATACAAAACATTCTGCCGCCTTTAAGTATCGCACCAGTTGCACCGAGTATGGCATCGCCCCTCATCTTAATAATTCAAGGCAACTATTCATTATGTGGCTTATAACAATAATTTAATTGTCCTCCTCCAAAAAATCCGCTCACTAGGCGGCTGTCTATGTCTACTATGTTTCGAGCCTGCCACGATTATGATGTTTACGATTTTTGTAGGATTTCTACGAATGGATACTCTAAGAAAATAGCCGTCAATGGATGAATACGGTTCTATTAATATATAACTTGCAGGTTTTTTACCGGATGGACCAAATGAGCATGACTACTGAACACTGCTAAATTTATACGGAGATCTATTTTTGGCTAATTTTATGGGAAGATCTATTCTTTAACTGAAAACAACGGTTGCATAAATGTCTGTGTGGTTGTCTCCGTATGTAACTAAAACAAAGTCATTTATTTTTCCTTTCATTGCCTTCCAAGAAATCATGCTCCTAAGGCTGATAGCCTCCATTTACTTTACCATAATAAATTGTCTACCTATTCATCGTCAGTTATTTTCGGACATCGCTTTGATTACTGTTACGTAAAAGGGTATCATCTAACTGAACTAGTAGTTATTTTCAGACACGGTTTCGATTATTATTATTAGGTATAGATATTCTTAGAAATGATATGCTTTCATTCGTTTTCGGCAATAATGAATATTTGTTATAATAAAAAATTCTGTAACTACTCCTGATAATGAAAACCACCATGGGGACCGATACCTTTCTATTTTTTTTTTCAACTCCATATTGGATCGGAGGATGATTTTGACAAGAAAGTAAGTCCTATTTCAGAGGCTCATCACAATTTGGCACAAAGCCTTGACAGTCAGATGCAATTCCAGGAAGGAGGGAGTCTTCTCAACTTCTCACGGTTAGAAAATAAGTCATCTGCACTTCATCTAGAGAACGGTTTTAACTATGAAGCCGGTCAGAGCTGAAACTCGCCTTGAGTATAAATATTAACTAGCAGAATAACTACCTGGGCGGAGCAATAATGGAATCTTGCATTTATTACAAATTTATTGAAATTAAGTGTATACGTTTTTTTATACTTAAAATAAATTTGGGTGTGCAAGTACAGTGTTTACTTAAATAAACGTGAAAGATTGACATTTAACATTAATATTCGTACAAAAGCACAGATTGAGCAGCATTCTATTTCAATAGAATCAGATTTAGCATAGAAGAATTTCATTACTAACGATATGATTTTCCAAAGTAGAGGTTACGATGTTAAACGCCTTGAGGAATGGCCCTCCTAAATACCTTCCGAAGACACATTCTGCACCTGATTTATCTACCAAGTTAGCCAGTTTATTTCTATGTTTTGTGATGATGTTTTCTAGATTCTAACTGCCAATGCACGAGCGAAGAAACCTACGTACACTAATAAGTTTTAATGCTTTTACATATTGTTAACGGCGAGCTGTACAGTATGGTTGTTACTAGAGTTTGGCTGCAAAAGTATGAGTTTTATTCCCACATAAATCTTGGTTGATTGCCTCATCTTTACCCTAACGGGTGCAAAATCAGCACGTCCCTGTGACGTTCTCCAGCCAACATCTCTGTGATCAGATTATATAACGATCAGTGATTTCTCGCCATATTCAGGTAAACGCACAGCTATACGAAAGAAGCGTATTACGCTTAGAAAAGGAAAGGGAAGAATAACATTAACAAAATTAAGTTATTAAGCTTAAATTTTGTTAATTAGCTCTCTTTAAGCTAATTAACAAAATTAAGCTTTTCAGGTATTTCTTATTGCCTTCAGTGTTATTTTTGTTTACGTTAGAAATTAACTCTTAACAAATCAGCTGTACGATGCGCGTATACTTTTGTTTTAAACACTTTTCTTTTTTCTTCCAAGGAAATCGCAGATAGTAAAACATTATTTCGCTTGTTCTTGAGGAGTTCGGCTCGCCAATCTGATATTTATCAAAGACATTGAAAATATAAAATAGACTCTTAAGTACATTAAAATTAAAGCTTTTGTATAGGTTATTTTAACAATTTAAGAACATACTTGAAAGAAAATTGACCTCCCAAAAATTTACTTACCACCCTCGGGCGTATCCAAGTAAGAAACGAATTCTTGTCCCCATCCTAGTGAATTCCTACCGGAAAGACGAAATTCATATCTTGTGCCACGATCTGTTGGGGGAAAATGATAAAAAAATGACATTACACTATTTAAATATTATACCAGTAATTTATGAAATTAAGGAATTAGCGAATTTAAAATCAGGCAATACAACCAAGACCAGTTTGTGAATTTTCAGGTTATATTTTATAGAAAGAATAAATAAAACTGAGCAAATGGCAACGGTAAGAAAAAAGTTTAAAAGAAAACGATTTTTAGAAAAACAGTAACTGACAAAATCCTCACGAAACGGCGTTCGCCAAAGTCCTCATGTCCTTTCTTTTTGCTGAAAAGCAAGATTGCTACAGAACTGACAAAATAAATATTTTGACTAAAAAAATATTTAAAAGATGCTGAAGAAGAAAGGCAGTGAAGGATAAGTGTCAATGATTGGGACAGGAGTTCTGTGGATTTTTTAATCTTCTTTTACTTTGTTTTTGCATAACTGATGATTCTTTCTTTTTACAATGTGAGTAATAAAATGCGAATGCATTTTAGCAAGTTTTATATTATAATACCAATACACATACCTCTATTGTGATGTTAATTTTAAAGGAGAAGAATAAAACATTGAAGAAGATAACAATGCTTAGATTTATGGCATTTTGGTTATAATAAGAGAAAGAAACTAGGTTATTATTTATTCTTAAGTTTTGTTTCATTTGTTAAGTTTTTAAGAAAACTTTTTAAGTTTGCATAATTCGTTTAGGTTTAGATTAATTAATAAAACATGTTAGAATTATTTGAGAGAAATGTCAGCTTAAGAATTTAATATTTAGTTGCCAGCATATTTCAATTGTAAAGCATAATCAACAAAAATGTCTTATATAGATACAAACTTTAAATTTTGAATAGAAAACAAATATAAATTTTAACTTTCTGCCTTAGCGATATTATTATTATTCTTTATGCATGTTTTCATATATATTTAGCAAATGAAATTTACGATTTATTTGAATTTTCTTTAATTAGAATGCTCTATCTTTTATTTAAAAAATAAAATTCTGGCCTGTAAGCTGTTTTCAGATTGTGTATTCATTTTGCATGCAGTTTGAGTTGGAAACCACTGGTCTATGGCATTTTAAATGCAATATTATATAAGGATAGTGATATAACTTAACCACTTTTGAAAAATGGAACGAAAATTTACCTTAAAGCCAAATGGTAAATGTGTGACAAGAAAGATATGATATTAAAGGGAAGCAGGAAGATTCTATATAAAATATTTTCGCAGATTAGGACTAGAAGAATAAGGACAGTTTATTTCAGTTTGTAATTAACGTTTGATTATGAAAAGTTTCTCACATATTTTCAAAGATTTCTCAGCAAAATGTTGTTGTGCAAACGGCACCTTTGAAGCAAATATCCTCCATTACATATTTGATTATCTTTCTTTGAAAGAAAAATAAATAGGACATTGGCTAACAAAAAACTAAATATGATTTTTGAAACAGACTCTTATATTAAAGGATTCAAAGCACTCATGATAATTATTGTATTAAACGAATGTAAAATAATTTCTAATTTACAAGCATTGATTCAATTAGATTACAACCAGTTTCTGCTCATTGTTATTTATAGTTTTAATGCGATTTTTGCGTTTTTCCGCTTTTAATAGCGAAAAAACACAAAAATAAAATTTTGCTTAAGTAGCAAAAATTTACCTTACAATTTAAATAAAGAAGCTTTTTATTAGATTACATTATGTTTAATGATTTTTATGAAAATTAAAGCTATACTGGGAATGGGCAGAAATAAAGTAAATTCTGTTATTTATTATTTTTGAAATAAGTTATTTTATAATATGAATTCCCGCGTTTTAAGCTACATTAGCTCCGGTCATAAATAAACAGTTTTAATTATTAAATAAAAGAGGATTAATCTCATCCGGGCAGTCCTTTTGAGAAAGACTTAGAAAGGATCAATCTTCATTTATTCATTTAATTTATTGTTTTACGAATTTTCTTATTATCTTTTCTAAATATTTAATTAATCTAATTCTTGTATTTTTTATTTAACTTAATTCTTGTTAATTTTTATTAAATTCAATTCCCAAATCTTTCATTTTTTAAGCATTACAGTTTGTAATAATTAAACAAAATTTAGATGAAACTTTTCCCCTTTTACACGCATAATTACTGCCATTTCTGTCACTTTCCTCAGTAATATTACGTATATTGCGTCTGTCTCTTGTTATGTACAATGATCCGATGTATATTTATCTTATGCAGTTCTGTTTTATTATATTTATATTACAATATTTATGATTGCGTATAACGGATCTAATTACGCAGATGATCCAGTGTTTAGTCTGAAGCAGTTTAGGGGTAAGTGGAGGAGCAAAATAAAATGAATTGATTCATTTAGCGGGCATTATTGCTGATTTTATCGTCAAATACCTTTCTTACCTAGATTTCTGACAGTTGTGTGATCATCCAATGGATTAATTTCCGTTTCTTCACGGTGACCGCCATCTGTCCGCCCGTATCTCAATCTATAACTCAATAGTTGTCCATAAGTATGAACTGGTCTCGACCAGTGGATCTGCACTATCAGTTGAGGCTCTTCTTGCATCAGCTTGATACTCATCTCTGGTTTTGTTGGAACTAAAGAAGTGAAGAATTCATTGCATTATATTTTGATTTAATTTTGAAGAAACATACTGTAATACTGTAACATTTTATATTTATTAATATTAATCCAGAAGTCCAATATCCCGACCTCCAGACATCCAGCCAAATAAAAAGTCCCTAGTCCTCCCACACTTTCTAAAATCTAGGAATTAAGAATATAATACTCAACAAAAAGAAGCAGGCGTGTGTGCCGTAAATGAGATTTTTCTCCCCAGTAACAGAGATTCCTGCATATCACTTTCAAATGCTTGCTGGCTAGGAGGTCGCACTGTAGTCAATAACAGTACATTGATTGACGCTGTATTCAGGTTTGGCCAGGATTACACTTTTAGCCTTAGAGCGACTGCGTGTGGAGAGCGGGAGGGGGGAAAGCAACGACGCCGCTTTTTTCCACCGTGTGAAATCTCTGCGGATCCTAAATTCTCCTGCGCAATGCTTCAACAAAATGCTGAAGCTTTTGCCATCCCTAATTTGCACTATTCGGTGCCTTTCTTAATTCTAAAATTTCTGCTACCCAGTGCAGTTGCTCAGGCTCTGGCGTCTGTCCTTTTCTTTGGGGGGGGGTTAACATTCTTCTATCTGTCCTAACAATAAGCCAAGCTCCCAATGGTATCATGTCTACACGTCATCTCACTAAATATAAATTGATGATCTAAAATACAGAAATTTCTGAAACCTGAAATCGTCGAAGTCCTGCCGATTCTGGACCTCAGACTTTGTTCAATGCTATAGAATTACTAAAAAAGAACTAATGTCTCGGAGTTACGTTTTATGAAAGAAAAGAACTTCAAACCATGAAACAAATGGAAGTATACTACTGAAATTTTGTTTCATATCCAACAAGTGTTCAAGTGGGTGGAGTAATGTTCATGGCTAGCTTGAATTGTGGATTCTAGTAAAAAATTTTCCGGAGTTCCTCCACATTTTCCTTTGAAACTCGTGGCCTCAAAATTATCCATTCTTTTGAAACTGTGGAAACCACCCTGGAATGTTCACGTACTTGGGAATCTAGAAAGCTTTATGCTGAGGGGTCACCTTTTTAAAAGTTAACAAAAAACTGAGCGTTGAGGGGAAATAATGTATCAAAAGCATGATATTGACTCCAGCTAACGACTATTCAAAGGTTGGAAATTCGTGATAAAAATAGTGATAATAAATTACCTGCCCTTAGGATAATGGATACATTGCTATTAATCTCGGACGACAAGTTAGCTGGAATAAGATTGCTTTTACATTATCAATCGTTGTATAATTGTTTCAGCGTTATTTATTCAAATCGACGAGCTAGCTGAAAAAATGTTAATAAATTGTGTGCCACTGTATAACCACAAAATTATTATTTATTCTACGCAACAAAATATTTTAATATAACTCGAAAGGAAATAAATAATCTGTCGCTGCATTGTTGCAGCATTAGTTATTCTGCCTGACAAGCTAGCTATGAAGACTATTAATAAATTATCTGTTATTGTATAACCGTTGCAGCGGCATTCATTCTGATCGACAATCCAACTAGATTGTGCTTTCTCATATTTTTGGATTTGCCTGGATATTTACTAGTTTCCTTCAAAAACTGCTCCATGAAGGCATTCCTTCCCTAAGGCGAATAGTACTCATGTTTTTTGCCTTGTTTGATTAAACAAACATATTATCATATATAAATAAATATTAGCACTGTTACTGTTTATACTTCTCAAATAGTTTTGACATAAAAATTGAAGAAAGAAATGCGATAGTACAAAGAGTGACTAAAATAAGTAGCTTATTTATTTGTTCGGAAAATCTTCATTTCTTACACGACTAAAATGTAATCACATATCATATAATTGGGGCAAAATTCAAGTTTGCTTATCTAACATTCATTCTGTGCATTTCCTGGAAGCCAATATAATCAAAGCAATAAATAGTTTCATGCTACTAACGTTATAGCGGCACAAGGGTTACACAACGCATTGCTGCAACAATTCGCTGTTAAAATTCTTATAATGTGGTGGATTAGGAAGGATTAAGAGAATACAATACAGTTTTGATATGGCTACTAGTTAGCCTCCACTCAAGTATTATTTCTATTGAAAGGTCAGAATAATTTAAAAATAAGTCGCACATCAGTTCTTTCCAAAAGCCAAGCCTGCATCCTCATTGGAAAATTTGAAATCAAACTCTTACTAATAAAAAAAAAATAGTTCAATGAAGAATACGAAAGGAAATCTGGAGCTTAAAAGTATTTGAAGTGATAAAGTATTATAATGTACTAGTTATTCAGCCCTTAACTTTATAAGTATATGCTCTAATTTCCTGATGTTAGAGAATGATTTAAAGATTTAAAAAATACATCACCTGATAGCATGGGAAAAGTTAGAAACTCAGTGGATATTCTGACAAAAACAGTTTTACAAGTCGACTAAAGCAACATTAATCAGCTAAGATGCATAAACTTTCAGAGCTAATTTTGAAGACAGAGAACCATCTTCTTTAGCAGCAGGAGTGAAAATGACTCAATGACTAATTTTATTTATTAAGAAATTTTATTTATCTGAAGAAGAAGGTTCTATCTAACCTTCCAAACTAGTTCTACAAATTTATGCAGCTTATGTCGATACATTTTGCCCTAGTATGATAAACCTTTGTCCTTTGGCGTATTATTTTAATTAATGATAATTGTTTTCCATTTTTACAGAAATTAAGCAAATTATTAAGAATAAAACACAAATAATTTTACAACAAATAAAACAAATTAAACACGGTGACCTCTCTAAGACAACCATTTACGGTTCCGCAAATTTTAGCCCTCTTTCGAAATGGCCATTTTAAGAGAGGTGATGTTCAATGCAGATGTTTATTTAAGTTTTAAAAACGTTAGTCACTTTAGAGGTGATTATCTTAGGAAGATAATCGCCATGACAGGGATTATTTTATTCAAATAAATAATTGCAAGTAGATTTAACTAAGCAAAACAGTCTAAAATTAATAAACTGAAAAAAGTATAATGTATAAACTTAGTAGAATCTACCATTTAGTTTAATTTAACATCTAAATATGTTACTTTATTTCTATAAAGGTATGGAGAATTAAATAATAATTTTTAATAAAACCCAAAATTTATCAGTTCAAAGTTACCATACGCAATCAAATAATTTTATGCTGCTGAAACATTGACTTGGAAAGAGATTTTAAATTTCAACAGATTATCATGCTAACCCATATTAGATTAATTTTATCAAAAATACGATTTGCATTTTTTGCATACCTGAAACTAGATTAATAATATTTCGAAAAATATTAGAAAGTATACACTGGTTTAAAGATTTAATGGAGATATAGAATATTATAATTCTAAAACTGCTACACTTTTATATTTATGAATATCCAAAGCCTGCATTATTCTAAATATGGAGGGGGAGGAGATTTTTGAAAATAATAAAAATATCTTATCATATATCTATGTAAATATATAATGTAAAAAATCCTATTTGGATTTATGATCCAATAAAAGTATTTTACTTCCATTCTGTATGCAGATGAAATTAAAAGAAACAGGAATACATTTTTACTCGCAGATTATAATAGCCAATGGACCTTTTCGTCAATTAATTTATATAGCATTCGTATATGTAAATTATATCAAAAAAGGTGTCTACTAAAAGTTTGAGTCGTCGGTGATAAAGGAGGTCGGCAAGAAATTTTATTTAGTGTGGAATAGATACATGATTTCTAACAGGTAATTTTTTTAGTATATCTTTGGGCTGTTTGTATTTTGGCAGATAAAGCAGGAGTAGAAAAAAATGCATGAAGACATTTTACTTGATAAAAGGAGTAACAATAAAAATATTTGGGAAATGGTTTCAAAGGAATGACATTCATAAACTCACCTCCACCCTGCGTCACAACTGTTACGGCTCTGCTACGAGTCCCATCTCCTTTTCTGGTGACAGCTGCTACTTGCACAGAATACTGGGTGTCTGGTTGGAGACCGGTCACATTAAATTCTTCCGCTTCTTCATCGGCGACATCGTACCGCATTGGCTCGTTCACTAGATCACCCTCGGAGTTCATCTCCTGCACGTGGATCTGATAGCCACGGATGAGACCATTACGGTCTCGATTAGCAGGAGGTTTCCAGTGGACAGCAATCGTCGTGCTATTCAGAGACTTGACTTCAACATCGCGTGGCATACCAGGAACTGTGAGGACAAATGAATTATATTAGTTACCAGAATAATTTCATTTAGATAAAATGATATTCTATTTACTTTGCCATGCTGTCATGCGATGGCCACAGAATCCATAACATCAGAAAGCAGAAGCCTCGTACGATCAAGCTAAAAGCATGCTTAGAGCTCAAACCTAGAGACTTCCAAGCCTTTTACATGAAACGAAATCGCTCTACAATTTTCTTCTCAAGTGTTTTTATTTGATGGTCATGATGTTTGCTAGACAGTGCAGTAGAATTGGCAAATATTCGTTAATACATGGCAAAAATTAGTTAATACTGATAGCTAGTTTGAGATCTCTCTGCGGCAGTGATACGATCTCCCTCGTACTCTCAATTTAAAAGCACGCTTCGAGCTAAAATATCGACATGCCCATGTACGGCCAGAAAAGTAGCTGCGTTATAACGCTTTAGAAACAGGACTGAATAATTGCAGTAATTCAAGCCTCTCAGTACTAATTAAGGTTCATATATTAATATTCGTACCAGATATACTGTATGTTTGGTAACTATAGATAACAAGTCTGCTGTTGTAGATCTAAGTATACACACCATAGAAAGGTCTTACTCATCATAATCGGTTTATGCATAGCAGGACTCTAAATTCAAAGATGAGATTTCTAATTGTAATATCATTAATACTAATAAATTATACTGAGATTTCGAGTAAATTTTATTTACGATACAAAAAGTACAACAGTTCAACACTAATTGCACATATCGTACACAAATCTTTCAAGGAATTTTATTTAATACAAGAATACTAACATAATTGCGTTTCTATACATGAAATGTGTTTTAAATTAAGCACGATCGGTATTATTTGGAGATACTTCAAAACCCCATATCACAGTGCAAGTAACAGATTAATATGTGATTGTCGACTTGATTAAAGTATAAAATTCATAACGAAGACTAGTATTGTGCAAAAACAGACTGAAAATAGCACTAAAAATTTAATCATGAGCCTGTACACACTAAGTTAAAAATAAAAAATAAATATTGTATATAACATACAAAGATACAAGATCAAGACGTCTATGGTTTATAGGAATTATCCTATTCCCGCTGTTTGTGTTCTCTCTTTCCCCAGGGCATACAAGAGAGTGGGTTTTGCTTGATGCAGGCAACATGCGCTTTGGAACAGACCTCAGTGGAGCACCGTGCTTTTTACAGATTATCAGGTTCAATGTTTCTTCTAACCTTCTTCGGAAACATACAATGACCTGACTAGAACAGAGAGCTTACTAAAGCTATGTTCACTAATTGTAGTAAGTAGACAGGATACAGACGAAGGGTATACAAAACCCTTTATTTTTCTTTATATACAATGACTTCCGTACTTCGGAATACAATGACCCTCCACTCGGGGTCTAACGTAAAAGATATCAAAATAAAACTAAACTCTAATTTAACTTTAGAATAATACACGTGTAAGATTGGCCTTATAATAACAGGAAGCGTATGTAGCACAGAGACTGTGAACACTACAATACGTTTAATTTATCAAGAGGATTAAAACCTCTGGCCTGGAAGGCAAATAGCAACTGCGTAACTTCTAAGGTAAGCGGCCTGCTTCGAACTCACTGCTTCCTCTCCTCTGCTTGGCAAAAAGGCCACACTTAAATACTTGGCGTTCGCCAGACAACTTTGCATAAACTCCTTCACGCTTATAATTCTGGCCGGAAGTAGAAAATAAGAAGTGATAGTAAAGATTTAAAATAAAATAAACGTTAGTAAAACTTAAGATCCTTACATACTTCCCGCCAGAGTTAATTAGTTTGAAACTGAGGTCTAAAACGACCTTGTTGAAAACTTTTAGCTCTAGAAACTAACGCGAGGCCAACCTTTTACAATCATAACTTAGCTAGAAACTAGAAAATTTTAAAAGAAAGAAATTTGTTACAATAGCAGCTCCCAGGATATACAACAATCTTTTTTTTTTCATCTGTACTGCATCTAAACAGGAGCTTTATTCAATTCTGGTTCCTTCCAGAGATCTGGAAGGAAAACTAGTTTAATGAAATGTTACAGAATGACATTGCAAATAACATATAGAATATACTTCTCTTAACATTCTTATTTCATTCATGACTATTTTAATTATCTCTCCCCGTGCTCTCTGACATGTGTTGTAAAAGAACACCAAACACGAATGTGTTTTCTGTCTACGTGTTGCCACACTTCCTCCTACAATCAAAACACTAACGTGTTAAAATTCAACATACGAGACCTCTTAACACACCCTAATTTCAACTCTAAACCCTGAGGTACTATTCTGAAAGTGGCTAACTCTAAAGTGTAGCGTCAGAGAGCCTAACTACATCATTCAACCTTTAACACATATTCACCATGATTTAATCTTTACAGTCACACGAATAACAAATTTTTAACATTACTTTCACTTTTACCATATCACGGTATTTCTTAACATTTAAAATAACAGTTCACATGTATATAAGAACATATCAACATGCCGTTAATTTTACACATTTGAAAACATACATTAGTAGTACATTGTTAACTTCTATTCTTTTCAAAGCAAGTGCCAATTCTTTCTACATTGAAATAATACTACATTTCAAAAAGTCTTTCAGACTAAAACTTCTTTCTTGCTAGAATGTTTTAAATAAAATTTATACAATAACTTTTTTTTTTTTACAATATTTAAGTTTTTACACAACGCTATTATACATCAACTTTAGTTTTTTTACGCGCGAGTAATTGAAAAACATAATAACGAAAATCGGTCACAACTCATTTCTCGCCCTTTTGGCGATAAAGGTAGACCTCGCATGAGGTAAAACTTCTTGAAATCTGCCACTTGCAGTAAGAATGAAAGATTAACTTAAGTTTGTAAAGTAACATAAAATTTTACTTATCTTTGTAATATTCAGACATCCTTTTCTGGGCCCAGTCTTTAAAGGTAGCTGCAGATAGTAGCTTGGTTGATCCTCCTTCTTGTACGGGCTCGCCCTTCAGTGCTTTCCTCTGGAAGCTTCCGTTTTTCACCACTACGGCCACCCTTGAACATCTTCCTTTTGTCCTCTGCTTGTGGTCTTGGCCGTTTGAAGGCAGCTGGTCTTGGTGGAACCGGGAAACTTCTGTCGTGATCCTGCTTGGACCTCGTTGTTGGCCGTTCAAATTTTTCTTGTACTTTTTCCTCCGCCGCTGATGGCCCTTCCGCAGTTCGGCGACTTTTGCTGCGGAGAGTTCTGTCGGATGAGTCAATCTTCCGTTTCAACAGCCGGGTTATAGTTGCCGTCCTTTCTCCCGGTCCTTTCCACATACGTCGTCCTTCTCCCTTCTTCATTCTGGGGGTGTTCGTGAACTCTCTTTTTTCTGGACGGTGGAACGGCTTCTTTTTCTTTTTTACCTTCAATTTTTCCGCGGGGCAATTTTCTTTTCACTTGCTTCTGTCTCTCATTGGCTTGCCCTTGTACTTGTCGTTTTTCCCACCTCTGGAACTTGTACCTGCGGTGTCTGCCGTACCGGATCCTGCAAAAGATCTGAAAAGATTTGCATTTTATTACGATCGAAGTAGGGTTTTAATTGGATCAATGTTTGCGGAACAGGTTTCACCATTTCTTGCCTTTAACACTACAACAGCGTGAGTTATTTTTTCTATAACATATGGTCCTTCAAAGCGTGGAAAAAATTTGGCAGTTTTTATCTTCTGGTGCTGAAGAAAGTGAATGCTTAATTTTTAAAACTTCATCCCCTACTTTATAAGTTACTCCCCGTCGTTTCAGATCATAATACAACTTCTGTTTTCTTTGTGCTACTTCCGTATTCTTTTTTGCTTCTTTTATTAGTTTTTCTATATCACCCATTTTAAATTCTGGGGCTCTTTGTTGCACATAAAATAGTTTATCTAACGGTGTTATAACCTTTCTGCCTAGAAATAACTCAGCAGGAGTTTTGCCCGTTGTATCATGTTTTTGCGGTCCTAAGGGCGAAAGCAAATTCATTGACATAGTTATCCCAGCTTTTATGAAAATTTTTTAACATAACTACGGATAATTTTCACTATATTTCTGTTGACCCGTTCCGCTATATTTGATTGCGGCCGATACGGGACCATTTTTAAATGACGTATGCCCAGTTTTTTGGCACATGTCTTCAAATATATTACTTACAAATTGAGGACCATTATCCGATATAACTTTTAGGGGCGCCCCGTATTTTAAAATATATTTATTTAAAATAGAATCAGTAACTAATTTCGCGGAGGCTCGTTTTAAGGGAACAATTTCGGTCCATTTACTAAAATGATCAACCATAACAAGGAGATAGCGACTTTTATTTAACTGACTTTTTGGGAAAGGGCCCAATAAATCGATGCCGATTATTTCATTTGGAAATTCGGATTTAATACTATTTAGAAACCCGGCCGGGCGGAAATTAATATAATTAACGGCTTGACATGTTGGGCAGGACTGGACATACGCCCTTGTTAACTTTTGCAGTTCAGGAAAGTAGACTGCCTCGCGTACGCGTTGGATAGTTTTTCGAATACCAGCATGAGAAGCTAAAGGGCTGTCATGGAGCTCTTGCAGGATATTTAATCTAAGACTAGCTGGGATAACAGGTCGAAATTCGTTGTTGGAATTCGTAGTTTTTGTATAAATAATAGACCATCTATTAGTTCGTAATGGGCCGCCCTATTTCTTATCGCCACAATATCTTGGTGGCTAAAATTTTCAGGATCCTTCAAATACTCATAAATACTTCCAAACTCAGGATCCTTACCCAGTTCGGTTATTACAGTTTCTCGGGAATTTATTGTACACGCTGTCAGCATTGCAACTTTTACGGTATTACCCTGTTCGTCTAATTTAATTCGTGATAGGGCATCTGCTACGATATTTTCCTTTCCGGGGGTATGCTTGATTACCAGATTATATATTCTTGCAGCTTGAGTGCCCATCTTATTAACCTTGGGGATAAATTTTTTCCCTGAGTACAATC